CGCGTGCGGTCCGTGAGACCGACGTTAGTTTAGTTATAGTGTATATTTTTTATTTTTATGAGTTTATAATGTCTGAATCAAACATACTACGATGGCTAGAGGAAGCTGATTCAGATTCAGAAAACCTGAGTGTACCACAACTTCCGAATGAAGATTGCAGTGACGTAGAAGATGTTGCAGTGGATCACATCATTGAAGGCGAGTGTCAGTCCGAATCAGAAGTCGAAGGTGACGGGTTTGAGCTTCAACCTACTGAAAATGAAAACAACACCATGCCACCGATGGAAGATTCATCGTCTGACGACGATGTTCCACTGGAAAGCCACAGAAACTACTTTGGTAAGAACCGATTTCGTTGGTCAGCCCATCCCCCAGTTTCAAGGTCAAGAACTATGCGGCATAACATCATTCAGCAACCACCCGGTCTCACGCCAAACTTTCAAGGTATTCTACATGCAAATACGAAACTCCTGAATTTGTGAAGCTGTTTTTTACTAAAGGTATGTTAGAACAAATAGTAAAGCATACAAATGAAAAAATTAAGAAAATTCGACCGAATTATCAGAAGGAAACATCTGTTCATGATCTAGATGTGATTGAATTGAAAGCCTTCATCGGTATGCTGTACTACACTGCCATTTTCGAAGAAAACCACACACACTATACATGCTGGTATAGCACAGATGGCACAGATAGAGAAATTTATCGTTGCATAAAGAGCAAAAACAGGTTCGAAGTACTGCTCAATTGTCTTCGGTTTGATGATGCAAGCACCCGAATTGAACGCCGTGCAAGTGATTTGGCGGCACCGATTTCCCAACTGTTTGATATGCTAATTCAAAACTGCAGAGAAATTTGTCCAATTGGAAACTATGCTTGCATAGATGAGATGTTAGTAGCTTTTCGTGGCAGGTGCATTTTCAAGATGTACATGCCAAACAAACCATACTAATATGGTCTGAAAATCATGTGCATTACTGATGCTCAAACTTGATACCTGCTCGACGCTTACATATATTCAGGGAAAGATTCTGATAGTATAAGCCTACCAGATGAATGCTAAAGGTTGAACAAACCAACCCAGGCAGTTTTGAGACTGGTATCTTCAATAGAAAGTAAGCATAGAAATGTGGCAACTGATAATTGGTTCACATCTGTGGAGCTTATGAATCAGCTAAAAGAAAAGCAACTGACACTAGTGGGAACTTTGAAGAAAAACAAACGTGAAATCTCGCCTCAGTTTCTTCCAAACCGTCATCGAGAAGTTGGGTCAGCCATTTTCGGGTTCACATCAGATGCTACATTGATGTCTTTTGTACCAAAGCAAAATAAATCTTGCTTTTACTGTCGATTATGCACCACACACCAACCATTGATTCAAATACTCAAAAACCGGAAATGATCATGTTTTACAACAGCACAAAAGACGGCGTTGACATGCTCGATCAGAAATGCGTAATTTATTCCACGTCTCGAAAAACTCAACGACGGCCGAAGGTAATATTTTATAGAATGCTTGATATATCTGCAGCGAACGCGTATGCTATAAGTAACATGAACCAAGCTCAGTCAAAGGTGCCAAGACTGAATTTCACAAAAAAATGGCAGAAGACCTGTAGCGGCGCTGCGGCAAGCGAAATACACCGAAGCCTAAATCACGCTATCAACATTCCGAATCATAAACAGTATATATAGAATATCTCCGAACTATCACACGGAGTTTTGGCCGCTCCCCGGGCATAACACCTTGCCCGGCGGGAGATCTCCCTTTTCCTTCCACGGCCACAGACCTTATAAGACCTCATCTCGAACGCCGGATGCACAGCTGTGGTTTGCAAAAGGAACTTCAGTGCACCATTCGTCGAATCCTAAAAATAGATCAAACACCATTTCAAATACTGATGATTCTGAAAAATTTGACAAACGCAAGACATGTTCAACCTGGAACCCTAAAAAACGCAAAACTGCTTACATGCGTTTTGCATGTAAGAATCCGATTTGCATTGAATGCAGCCAAAAATGTGCTTTAATTGTCGCCGCAACTTGTGGAAGTTTATGGGTTGTGATTTTGTATTAATTGTGCCTTAATCGTGCCAAAAATAATTATAAGCTAGAGATTATATATCGAACTTGTCGTAAATAATTAAAAACGATTGAGCTATAGTGAATTTTACTACTCAGATCTCAGATTTTCAAAGTTACTAGATTTTTTTTGCTGAAATTTAAAAGGTTATGTTAAGTGTTGATTTTTGATAAGTAAGTGCATACTTTTGCATAGTTTAAAGATGTATAATTAATTAAAACAAAATGAAAATACAGATGTGTCTTTTATTTAATGTAATATTTTAAATAATGGTTATTAAAACATGGAAAATACGCATGCGGTCTCCAGGACCGACGTCAGGTGGTAGTGTAACTGAAAAACACGTCAGGTGGCTAAGGGTTAAGGAAGTAAAAGCTATTACAGCATCTTCTATAGATTTTTCTTGTCTAAAACCAAACCGCATGTCAGACAGTATTTTAAATTTATTAATGTATTGTTAGTCGTCTATTTATTAATTTTTCTATTACTTTTGAGATAGACAAAAGAACAGAAATAGGCCTGTAAAAGCAATAACATAAAGATGCTTAGCCTTCCATCTAATTTAATCGCGTGAATTCAAAGATTTTATTAATGAACTAAATCAGGCCTAATAAGATCAAACAAAAGAGAAGGTCAAGTCAGAACTTAGTCAAGCAGTGTACCTATTGCATTACGATTGATGAATGGTCGATGATCATCCAATTTTAATGATAATTGTGTAGACATGACATTTCGTTTATTTTAAAATGTATAAAGTTTCCATGGGTAGACATACGGCAGTATACCTGATCCAAGAACCTAAAACAATCAAGGATGATTGCAATATTACCGGTACACGACTTTAGCAGCCCACGATTTTAACAAGCGAACGGAAAGCCTTTAACATCATTATCACATAATAAAAATTACTAGATACGATTAATCGAACAGTCAAATCTGCAATAAAGTAAGCAAAAGTGACAATCATATAATCTAACATATTGTGGAAGTATTTCGGAAAAGGTTTATTGATAATCGTCTCAAATATTTTGTCAGAAGACGTGATTGCAGCGGAATTGTATAAAAACTTGGTAAAAAAATATCGAAGAATAAAACACGTCGGATGCTAAAGTATACGCCAGAATTTCATAAGTTTTGCTAACATTGCTTTTCTACTCACCACGAGCATATAATTACGTCCGTACAACCTTTGCTTCGTGTTTATGCATCCAAAAACTATTTATAATTAGTATCGCAACGTGAATGATTCTCCTGGCTTAACGGATGAAGCGTTTAAGCTTTTGAAAACTAAAGTAAAATGTTCAGAAGAGAAATTTATATGTAATTTAGTAGCCGACGAAATGGCAATACGTCCGCAAAATATAAATGGTGATCATGGACAAGTAGACCTAGGAACAGGCACATCTGAATATTCTAGGAAAGCTACGAAAGCTTACACATTTATTCTCGTTTGTCTTAACGAACACTGGAAAATTCTACTGGTATACTTTTTGGTTCATGACCTATTCGGTTAGCAATTAAGTAACATAATTAAAATGTGTCTTGTAAAATGTGAAGAAGTAGGTGTGAAAGTAGACGCTCTTGCCTTTGATGCTCACCCTACCAATATGTCAGCAATGGAACAATAGTTCCATTGCTGACATATGAAGATGAAGATTAGACTACAAAAAAATGAAAACAACATTTAAGCCCACAGCAGCAGATCACAACATAACTGTGTCTTATGTTTTAACCATATGATTAAGCTAGTTATGAACCATTTTGAGGACATAAAAGAATTTCTAGAACAGGAAGAAGAAAAATTTATTAGGAATTCCTAACAAAATTAAATAACATGCAAGAAAAGGAATTCTTACATTTAGCCAACAAATTAACTCGTAGACACCCCGAGTTTAGAAACTCTGCCATGAAAGTAAAACTAACTTCCCAATTTCCTAGCGGCTGTGTAGCAGTTGCAATAAGGTTTTGAAGTATTAAAATTGGACAGTTTCAGAGATAGTGAATGCACAGAAAATTTCGTAAATATCTTCAATAACCTATTTGACATTTTTAATTCTAGAAGCTTAATTCAATATGGGTTTTGTCATCCTATTTCCCGTGAAAATAAAACAGAAATTGACTATTTAGATAAATTATAAAGATTAATTTCATATTTAGATAAATTGATAAAGAATTTGAATATTTTTATAAAGCTAAAAAGTACATACTTACACATCAAAAATATCAGAAAACGTAAATTTAAAGAAAACTAAATTTCAAAACAGATAAATAAAAAATTTTCAATCAGTCTTCGCAGTCAAGTGCTTCCGCTGGTTTCAAAGGATTGCTCGTATGTATCGAAAGCCCTCTGTACTTATTTAGAATTCTGGTTGAAGACACACAGGAACTAAAATACTAAAATAGATTATAGACCACTTATAGATTAAGTCAGGCTCATATTGAACTATTTTTCGGGTCAATAAAGATGCACGGCAGGCACAACGATAATCCCAATGCCTTACAATTTAAGGGCAGCTATAGCCCTTTCAGCCCAGGCCAACACGATTGTGACGTTAAGTCAAAGTAAAATTTTGGCGGTATTTTAGGTGTTATGTGAACGGGCCCACGGCCGCACGATCGTGACGGATATGCTCTGTCTATAGGTGTGAGACAGCTAGCAAGCGTCGAGAAGTTCGAATTTAAACTCATTCATTTCGCCGTTGGTGTTGTTTGGGGTGTTGCTGCGCGTGAGTTATCAAAATTACCATACAATTATGTATTTCTCACGTTATGATTGTTGTTTATTATTATTATTGAACTGTTTTACGTACCAGTCAATAAATTTGTTTGTATTTTTAGGAAATTCTTAAGAAAAAGTGGCACTGAAGTCTAACGTCACAATTGTATCACTCCGGGCCCAACTACATAGTACATTGCCATGGCGGAATCGCTATTTAGCCTCGATGACAACGCAATTGGGGAGTTACTGGAACAGACTGACTTGGAAAATGTTGATGAAGATAATGATGACTTATATGCGCAAAACGATGAAGATAATAACTATTTCGAGGGGAGACTACTAGTCAAGCTCAAGAAAGTTCAAGTAATGAACCGCCCAAATAACCTGCTGAGTTAGCGAGTTACTTCGAAAATTATTTTGATGCCGAACTGTTTGAAAAGTTTTCGATCTGTACTGTGCAATATTACATGGCCGAAAAAGGGCAGCAAATGAGGCCGCAATGTACACCTATTGAAATAAAAAAATTCTTCGGAGTTCACGGGATGATGAGTTGCATTAAATGCCCTCGAATGAAAATGTATTGGCATCAAAAATTTCGATACGACCCAATAGCTAATGCTATGTAACGTGAGCCCTTTTTTATGTTACGGGTCAATTTACATGTAGTTGATCCTAACAGAGTTGACGAAAATGAACGGTCTGCTAATAAATTGCGGAAAGTGCAAGCAGTTATAGATGCAGTTAGAAAACGGTGCCATGCATTGCCACGCGAGAGTCCAACTTATACACGGTCAAGTGGAAAGATAACAAAAGTGTTTTGTTGGCTTTAACGATTCACGGAGCTGAACCGAGTACTACTATAAGTCGATGGGACAAACAAACACGTACTTACAAGAACATTCCGTATCCTTTCATCGTCGCCAATTACAACAACAACATAGGAGGCATAGACTTGTGCGACCAGATGATTGAAAACTATAGGACGTGGTTCAAAACCAAGAAGTGGACTGTAAAGGTCATAATTCATCTCTTTGATCTCGCTATCGTAAACTCATGGTTTGTGTATCGAGAAGACGCACGAAAAGCCAATATGCGTAAAAATGATGTAATGGACTTGCTGGCATTTCGTATATCCATTGTAGAGTATTTATTAGGTGGACCGACTAGAACAAGGACTCGCGATGACTTAGAATTAGCCCCGATACCGACTAGTTCTGAGTACAAACCTGCAATACTGCCGATGCCTCACAAAAGATATGATGGCTACAATCATTGGCCAATGTTCGATACGTTGAAAGCTCCTCGCAAATGCAGGTTGCCTGATTGCACCAGTAGAACCCGAGCAAGATGTTCGAAATGCGACGTATATTTATGTATAACTAAGGATAAAAATTGTTTTTTTTAAGTTCCACAACGCTTGTTAAACGAAAAGTTTGAATAATGTTATGATACAGTATGTTTTTCTTTTAATTTTAACAAAAAAAAATGTTGTTCCTATTATGCTTAGGTTAAGAAAATATTTTCGTATATTTGATTATAAAGTTTATTGTTAATGCTAAGCAAAAGTTTGTTGAACTAAAATAATAATATTTCTTATTAATTCTATGTTAAACTTGGTTTTAAGTTAGAGAAAGATTAAACTATTAAGCCAATATAAAATAAATGACATAATAAACACATCACATCCTTTTATTCACCTTAATTTATAAGAATAATTTGAAAAAATGCAATAACTTAATATAATTACAATTATTAGTGGCTAGAAATATGGGCCACATCAAAACAATTGTGACTCGGAATAAGTTGGGCCCACATCGACACAATTGTGACGTGGAATGAGTAGGGCCCAAGTAGGTATAATTGTACGCCCCCCTGAAAAGTCCTGCAAACACATTGTATCATTGAAAGTCTTCAGTTTTTGTATTCTCTGATCCCCAACGATAAAGAATATCTATTTTTTTAACATTAACTCGTTTAGTTTCGTCGTGGGTCTGAAAGGGATAGGAAATTACTCTGCCACGTGGATTACAAGTCGGTGAAACGGGAAACTGTGTACCGCTTGAAACTATTTCAATTTTGACGTACTCATCAGCGCTTCAATGTATCAATGCTTCAACTATAGCAGAAAGATTCGACGATGCCGATGAAGAATTGATTAATGTATTACAGGCTAATGAGGACATCACATTTAAAATGGCATATAATGATGATCCAGATTGCAAATACTCATCGTCGGATATATTGTAGGCCCGAATTAAATGTAGATTGTGTGTGGACAATATTCCAGCCAAGGAAAAACAATGGTTCTATAAATTGGGGTGTTTCCGCGACCAAGCAGGATTAATTTACGTTTGTAATGAACTTACTCCATTTGTAGTATTGCTGAAAATAATCTGTGAAATTATATTAAGCATAATGCACAGAAAAACAATTCAGAGAAAGAGCTATCTCTCAAAATTATGGCCAAACTCATTGGTCGTTCTCTATTTCCTATTATATAAGAGCACATCAATTTGCAACATCACGACAGAAATCTGGCGGCTTAATGTAGAACGTTATGTAAGAATTTAATTATTTTATGAATCCAAAAAAGATATTACTTCGCGGATAGCATCAAAGCGGCAGTTGTTTGAAAAACAGTTGCAGATGCAGGGGAATTAAGTATGAGATGTTTAGTTTAAGTACTTGTGTATATAGTTATTTAATAAATATTTTTAATTTCATGTTTTATTCCGATAGTTTTTCCTTTCCGAATCTTATCCTATACCTTTAAACGAGCAATTCTTGTGATGTATATAATCGGAATCTCGGAAACGGCTCCAACGATTTTCATGAAACTTAGTATGTAGGGGTTTTCGGGGGCAATAAATCGATCTAGCTAGGATTGATTTTTAGAAAATGTCGTTTTGTCCGTGTTTTCAGGCAATAAAACACTGCTACAATATAAGAATGCAAATTTTGACACTATATTAATGATCGTAATAGCTCAAGTGGATATCGGCCGTCGCGAAATCGTAGTGCTTTGGTTCGCGTCCTGTCTACATTCCGACTTTTTTGCCTTTTTTTTCAAGTTTCCTTCTTTTGTGAGAAAATCTATTATTTCGAGCCCTTTTTTAGTATTTTTTTAAAAATACGAAAATTTAAATTAAACTAATTGCACTCATGATTTTTTATTTAAATAATCAGTTCAGTTTTTTCTATTATGTCAATAAGATCAAAAAATATTAATCACGTTTCCTCAGTATGTAATTTGTATCTAAATACAATTTCCAAAACCCAAAATTTCCAAAAAAAAAAATACCGAGGAAAGCTCGGTCATCGAGGTATAAACATAGTAATAATAATAATCAACTCAAACATGAACTAAAAATATGATTCTTCCTGACATCTATTGGCGAGTAATAATACTATTTTCAATTGGGAGCAACTAACTGCTTTAATGACACAGCAACACTAAAGCTACTTCAGTTGATAGCGTTTCTAAGTAACGCTAAGCCAATGAGTGTTTGATTTGACGTTAGACCAAGAAAAACAATTTTTTACTTATATTATTGATAAAATAGGTTTCTTTTGACTCACGTGTTCGCTTAAAAATGCCTAAAAGATCTTATAAACAATCTAACTTCACGAAGCCGCGACTCGTCTCAAGAACACTTTGATGACAATCGTCATCAAACACAAACAGGTCAGGTTCCTCAAACTTCACACAGTGAAGACTCATTTCAAGAAAGCCTTTATGAAAATAGTCAGATTTTCGCTTGTCCCACACGTAGTGCTAGTAAGATGTTTGCAAAACTTGACTAACATTATACGAGGAGAAAAGTCACATGATTTAGATGTTTCACGAGATCGTGCGTCACAACGTGTGGCCGCTGAAAACGACGAGTAACGGGAACGACGTCTACAAGATTTGCGGCAGCGTGCGGCACAACGTGTGGCTACTAAAATTGACGAACAACGAGAGTGACGTCTGCAAGATTTGCGGCAGCGTGCGGCACAACGTGTAGCTACTGAAAATGACGAACAACGTGAGCGACGCCTGCAAGATTTGCGGCAGCGTACGGCACAACGTGTAGCTACTGAAAATGAGGAACAACGAGAGCGACGCCTGCAAGATTTGCGGCAGCGTACGTCACAGCGTGTAGCTACTGAAAATGATGAACAACGAGAGCGACGCCTGCAAGATTTGCGGCAGCGTACGGCACAACGTGTAGCTACTGAAAATGATGAACAACGAGAGCGACGCCTGCAAGATTTGCGGCAGCGTACGTCACAGCGTGTAGCTACTGAAAATGATGAACAACGAGAGCGCCGCCTGCAAGATTTGCGGCAGCGTACGGCACAACGTGTAGCTACTGAAAATAATGAACAACGAGAGCGACGCCTGCAAGATTTGCGGCAGCGTACGGCACAACGCGTAGCTACTGAAAATGATGAACAACGAGAGCGACGCCTGCAAGATTTGCGGCAGCGTGCGGCACAACGTGTAGCTACTGAAAATGATGAACAACGAGAGCGAAGTCTGCAAGATTTGCGGCAGCGTGCGGCACAACGTGTAGCTACTGAAAATGAAGAACAACGATAATACCGATTAGAAGAACAAAAACGTCGAGACGGAAGACGTCGTAGGGCTTTAGAACTTAATAATTTTTTACCGACATATAAATGTGCCGTTACTGCAGCTGTGCAATATCACCTCTTAGGACCATTTGAAATTTTGTGTATTCATTGTGGTGCATTGCATTTTCCAAAGGAACGCGTTTCTAATCTTATAAATAGAAATTCTTTTGGTGAATGTTGTTTGCATGGACGAATTTTAATGGAGCAACCAAAATTTTCAAATGAATTAGTACGTCTCTTTTTAAACCGTCACCCATATTCGGAAGAATTTCATAAAAAAAATAAGAAAGATAAACGCATTTTTGCTCTAGCATACTTCAGTGCCGAAGATGACAGAACAATAAATAGCCATGGCATTTATAGTTTTATCATTTGCGGACAAGTTTATCATAAAATGAATATGACAGCTCACCCGACGCAAAATGATTTTGGTGTTTTTGAACGGCCACTCTACGGGCAACTATACTTTTTAGATCCTGATGAAGCCGTTAATGAAAGAGTTAACCATCCACTTAATTCTGGAATTACTACTTCAATGATGAAGTTATTGGAATTCATCATTCGAGCGCATAATCGCTATGTACAGGGATATATAATGATGCGAGAAGTAGAGGACGAAATGAATCGGTTAACTTCAGCTCAAGGGTTACCCCCACCATACGTAAAGCTTTTATTTAGAGTTCCAGATCAAGTTGATCGCAGAAGGTTTAATATACCGGCGTGTAATGAGGTTTGTGTAGTTTTTACACTAAATGCTGATCACAGCTTTCCAGATAATGAAATGATTGTTCACCAGCGCAATAAAAAGATTGTATTTTAAAGGATGTTGATAGGCGAGTCGAGCCATTTACTTACCCATTATTTTACCCAGCCGGCACAGATGGTTATAGCCCGGCCGCAGTCATTTAACTCGGCTTGAACCGGCACAATACAGACTTTCGTTTCGACCTGAGTTTGTTAAATTTTTAACAGAATCTACATCAACAGAAGGATCCGATGTACTCATTTAATGCACTGCATTTTGGGGGCCGATTATTTCAACAATATTTAGTGGATACTTACATTCGAGCAGAGCGTGACCGTATTCAATGGATAAAATATAACCAAAATAAGATTCTATCAGAACAATATACGGGAGTAACCAGTTTCCTTAATCAACTTGCCGAAAAGAAAAATGCCACAGTTGGTGAAAAGATTATTTTACCCGCCTCTTTTCCTGGTTCGACGAGGTATTACACGGAAAATTTTGAAGATTCCATGGCTATTGTTCGACGGCTTGGATCATCTGATTTCTTTATCACCATGACATCGAATCCTAACTGGCCAGAAATAAAACAGGCACTGTAAATACATTCAGAAGATAAAACAATTTTGCAACAGCTTCCATAAGATCGTCCTGATATCGTGGCTCGAGTCGCTAAGTTCAAATTTGACCAAATAATAGAAGATTTAGATAAAAAAACAAGTCTTTGCAAAAGTGTCGGCATGCATCTGCTCATAACTATGACATTCTGTGACAAGATTCATCAACTAGAAGAGCTCGACGACTTGATTTCATCCGAAATACCCCAAAATGATGACTTAGAGTTAAGAGGTATTAGTACTCAAATGGATTATTCACAACCCATGTGGTGATTTAAATCACAATGCAACATGTATGGTTCATAAAAATGGAAGAACAAAATGTCGATTCAACTTTCCAAAATCGTACCAGGAAGTTACATCTTTAGTAGATGATGGTAAACCGAATTACCGACGACGCTGCAATCTGCAGTCAGACCCTAATAGTCCTCAATTTTCACACGAACATGCAGTTTATCGCAAAGACATAAACGGTCGTCGTATAACACGAGATAATCGTCATGTAGCCCCCTAAAACGTATATTTATTGAAAAAAAAAATTGTCATATTAACGTTGAATACGTAGGGAGTATTTTGGCTATGAAATATCTTTATAAATACGTTTATAAAGGATACGACTGTGCATCGATCAAAGTTGTAGAAGAACAAAGGACTCTGATTTATAATGAAGCAAATACATACATTGAAGGACGTTGTGTCACGTCACCAGAATCATGCTGGCGATTATTTGCTTTTGAATATCAAAAAAAAGTCATAATTTTCAACGAAAGGATATCCACTTACCAGGAAAATACCGGATTGCAAACTTGGATCAAATCCATGAAGATTTAGCTGACATTGGCCAAAGAGGGTCTACTTTGGAGGCTTATTTTAAGAATAATGCAAAAATTAAAAGACATTGACTGATTGTCAAGCGATCATGTCACACGTGGATATCACTTTCGTTGGCAGATGCCTGAAAACTTTAAATGGATAGGAAGGTCTAGCAAGTAGGAGCCAAGAGTTCGCTGTTTGAGAGTCATTGGTAGGATTCATAATATGAATTTCGTTGCCCAACCAGAACTTTACCACTTGCGATGCGTTACTATTTCATGTAAAAGATGCAACAAGTTTTAAAGACCTTCGAACCGTAACAGACATCCAATATCAGACGTTTAAATAAGCCTGCTTAGCAAGAGGCTTGACTTACGACGATCATAAATGGATAGAAGGATTACGAGAATCTGCATTATCTAAAATTCCTGCAGCAACGAGAAGTCCTTTTGTTCAAATTTTTAAATACGGATCTCCTGAAAATCCAAAGCGAAATGTGGGAAATATTTAAAGAAAATTTAACAGAAGATTTTATACATGCAACCCGCCAAAATGGACAGTTTATAGCAAATGCAATTAATCACGGTTACAGAATAATTGCTAAAAAATTAAACACTGAAGCAACAGAAGGCCGTAATTTCTAATACTGGGTACAAACTTTTGGCTTTGAGGATATTGATAATTATGATCTTGAAGATAATCAATAGAATTTGAACACGGATGAATCAGCAGTATTAGGAGAGCAAATGTACCAGTTACTAAAAGGAAAACAGATAGAAATCGTTAATTCCATTCTTGACGTTGTAAATAATACAGTTTCTGAAACGAAATGCTTCTTCATTGATGGGCCGGGGGGTACTGGAAAGACATTCATATATAAAACTTAATACTACATACTGACAGGAAAATGATACAGAGTAATATGTATGGCTTTTACTGGTATTGCTTCCATATTATTACCTAATGGACGTACTTTTCATAAAACTTTTGGACTAAAAGTACCACTGACACCAGATTCAGTCTCAAGTATTACACCTAACTCTTCTATAGCGAGACATTTAGCAGAAATAGATATTTTTCTTATGGATGAAGCTCCAATACTTCCAAAATATGGATTGCAGAACATTGATCAACTTTTGCGATCCATTGGGAATTCGGATCTCCCTTTCGGTGAAAAAGTAATATAGTACTAGGAGGAGATTTTCGCCAATGTCTGCCTGTATAGCCGCGTGCGATTAGGGTTGAGTTATTAGATCTTTCTATTAAGCGATGCTCCTTATGGTCCGTTTTTAAGACTTTTAAACTAGAAGAAAATATGCGCGTTGATATAGACTCTATGTGTATATTATAAAGCAACGACAATTTGCTGATTATTTATTAGAAATTGAATTGCCACAGAATATCATTTCAAGCAACAATCTTATTGATGAAGTATTTGGCAACTGCTTAGCTAATGGAAATTATGATGGGATGAAAGACAGAGTAATACTTGCGCCTCTTAACAAAGATGTTGAAAAAATTTATGATGGTATAGTTGCCAAACTTCCCGGAGAGTACAAAATCTACTATAGCCATGACTCAATTAAAGATCAACTTGAAGGAACAGTCGAATTTACAACAGAATTTCTCAATAGTGTGAACATTTCAGACTTGCAACCACACGAACTAAAATTGAAAAAAAAATACGTTAATTATATTGTTGCGTAATTTAGACATATCAGAAGGACTATGCAATGATGTAAGACTTATTGTAACATGTCTGTGCAATCATATAATAAAGGAAAAAATTGTTAATGGTGAACAATCCGGCAAAGAAGTACATATACCAAGGATAGCCCTTGACTCATCAAAAGGACAACTTCGATGCACCATGTAGCGTCACCAATTTCCTGTTAGACCTGCATTTGCCATGACTGTTCACAAATTCCAAGGGCAAACATTTGAATCTGTTGGGGTTCACTTAAAGTCAAGTTCGGTCTTCATGCATGGCATGTTTATGTAGCATTTTCTAGAGTTAAGGGACCAACTGCGTTAAAAGTCCATCTTCCAAATGAAATATTATATATACAGAGAGACGATGAAGTTATCACATTAAATTAAAAGACGTATTCTAAATAACGTTCTTTAAACATACATAACTAAAAAAATGTAACAATTAACATCCTAGTCCCAGTAATAATTTTTTTTCGATTTAATATTTTATAAATTTTTCGAATTAAACAACATCATGTAAATGCATACATTTATCACCTGACGAATACTAAAAGGTCAAAGACCCATGGCCGGCAAAGGCGAATTATAGTTCAAACGTTGCCAATCCGAATTTCTCAAATAAAGAAAAAGGATCAAGCAAAAAATGTACTTAAGCCTAACGATTTAAGACTTAATTTTTACGCGCGAAATGAAAAACAAAGCTTCATTCGAGTCAGTTAATTCTTATTCCTATCCTTCATCAGTAATCGGTTAGTAATATAGGTACTCGTAAGAATACTTAGTGTGGGTTTTGTGGTTAGGTGGTTGCGAGTAATATCGAACCACTTTACGGAGTACACATATCGACCACACCCCACAGAACTTTTATTTCTACATTAGAAGAAAGCGATACAGTAGAGGAATTAGAAACGCATAATTTAGAAAAAACAACACAAAGTTCTTCAGAAAATATGGTAGAGAAACAAATTAACAGTTTCCTTCACGTTAGATTTAGAGGGTTTATGCCCTCTATACGAACGAATAAGTTTTATGTTGGGAAGATTTTAGAGTTAATGGAAAATTCGGGAATGCTGGTTAAATTTATGAGAAGAAGGAAGACGGACCTTTTTTATTGGCCTGACGTGAATGATGTTAGTTTTATTCTGGAATCCGATGTGGAGTTGGTCTTAACAAACCCCCGAGAGGGTCGCGGGGGAACATTTAAGTTTGAGGATATTGATTACTCAAAGCACATCATCTTAACTTGACGAGTGAGTGATTGGTAGCACTGTTTCCTTAGCCGTCATCTTTCTTTGAATTTGATCGGTTGCTATCTGTGTTTTTTGCTTCTTAATTATGTAATTTTAGTTTTAAAAATGCTAAACGTGGTTAAAATTTCTAAACGACGAACTATTCTTCAAGTTTACGCATTTTTTTAAAGTAAAGGTTGAAGACAAGCTGATTTAGCCATTGCAACAAGTTCATGCCCGAATTGACGCCAGTATGCTTTTAGGGTGACCAGTTACAAAGATTTAGATTAACAACAATATATATATATATATATATAATTATATATATATATATATATATATATATATATATATATATATATACTACGTGTTCATTTTAAGTTTGCCGTCGTCGACCATTATGACATCACAGCTGACTGTACCGTAGACAAGAATTATCATGTTTATCTATTATATCACATAAACATAATGACTATTTTTTGTCAAATTAAGCGAAACTAAGTGAGTACTTTGTTGTCCTGTAGACAGAAATAAAAGCAAACAAGTAGAAAAAATGCATACTATAAAATAATTTATTTAGTAAAGTGAATTAATAACAGTGAATAGGAACGTGTCCGATACAATTATAAATTTATAATTAAATTTTTATAGTTTTATTTAACACATAAAATATTTTAAATACGTAAAACGTTACGAAGGCGTTGTTGTCGGTACTAATAGTGAGTGAGGGAGCACGGCGGGAGGTAACGGCATTCTTGGAGTGAACAAGTGGTATAACATATGTATTAGCAATGTCACATGTGTATTTTAGTAACGTCACTTACATTACTAAAATATTCTATTTTATTTAAAACTAAAAAATAAAATTGCATTTGTTTACTGATTACGGATATATCCGAATCTACTGTAACCCGAATTTTGAGATAAGAAAGAGAGACCAGTTGTTTTTCAAATACCTAGAAAAAAAACGAACGAATCACGATAACTGTACGAAAAGAAATTCCGACGTTGAACAAACCACTTGTCGAATTGCGATATGAAATAAATTTTGAAGGTGTGCGTACTACACTATGGAAGATGTTAAAACGACTAGGATATAAATACAAAAAGTGAAAATCAAAACGAAAAATTTTAGTCAAACGAACAGCTATATATCTGCCTGGCGATTTAATTACTTGAATGAAATTAAAAGAATACCGGGAAGAGAGGCGGACTATTGTCTACTCTTATACCCCTATTACACTACCCTGAATCAGGCTCCCTACTCCCTGATTCTGGGTGGTGTAATAAGAGAAAGGGAGTAAGGGTCCTAATTAGGGCGTCAAAGTGGACCCGGTCTGCAGTGCCCTTCCACCATGCAGTGTAATAACACTAAGTGAGTTAGGGCACTTACTCGATGCACGACTAGTGATGCAAACGATACATCAATTATTTCAAACATCGATATATCGTTCATAAACATGGTTCTTCACGAACTCTGCTTTATGAACGATGTTTTGCCGTCAAAGGTTACGAAATAACAAACTGTTCGAAGGTATAAATTACGTATGTTGCGAACGATGATCACGAATTTTATGTTTCCAAAAAATAAATATTCGAAACAAGTTAAGTTAGCTTAAGTATAGTCTTATAAGTTAATAGTTATTTTGTAATAGAAATTATTTTATCGGCTTACGGTACTTCGTATTTCGTTATAATCATTTTCATGAAATATTGATTTTTATGGATGAACGGTTATTCATCTGTTTGTATTTCGGTATAGTTTAGTAGATGTAGGTATTCAGAAAATGTGATAATACTGAAGGTAACATACGGGACTAACGTAAAAAATTAACGCACCAAATCATAAGAAATAAAATTAAAGCAGAAGACAAGTTTCATATATTAAATAGCCTCGATAAGATCTATTTGCCTATCGTGGTAACTTCGGTATCCCGTGAGTGGTTATTTTCAGAGGCTGAATCTACAATCACCCAGGAGAGAAACCAATTACAAGGCACCAGGTTGTCAAATTTGTTATTTTAAAATTCATGTCGAAAGAAATAAACGTAAAAGTTAAATAATATTTTATTAATTCTTGTTTTCTGATGATTATTCGATGAAATTAAATGTGTAAAAATAAATAGTGTAAAACTTCCTAAAATAACATAAATATAATCTTTGATTATTATACTTCTTTCTTTCATTTCTGTTCAATATGATTATTTATTTCATATGTATGTTTTATAAAAAACATCGAAACAATCGACATACCGTACATAATTCGATGTTTTAATGAGCGATGTTGCATCCTATAGATGTGCTTACTTGGAAAAATTACGACTCGAGTTAACTCAAGTTCAAATTCACACAACTCGAACTAAACTCGAGTTATGCAACGAGAGTTAGCAGGACGAAACACAGTAAATGATCTGTTACAATTACTTTAAAAATATCGATTCAATAAATATATATACTTTTTTCACTTGTCCATCCCTATGACTAAATAAGGGCGTAAAATCAGGGTAGCGTAATAACTGACGTCCCTAACTAGGGGCCACGCCCACCCTTCATTCAAGGCCCTGATTCAGGGTGGTGTAATAGGGGCATTATATGAAACATTTATTCATTCTTCATATAGGGTTCAAAAATTATGGCAGTCAGATTCTGAAGAAGGTGTATTGGTCAGAGATTTCAGGTACGGGTAGGCGATGGATAATTATCCCGTTCCATATTGCCTGTGCCTACATTTCGGGAACGCCCTTCGCATTGAAACATGCAACACTGTAAATTACAGAGCTGCCAATCAAATCACGCGTCAAGTTACGATGAACGGACAATATATATTTTTGTTCGAATGTAATTCCTATTAAATATTATTTTATTTTCGTCTGGCAATCTTAGCAGAAGTGATCACAGACTTTGCCACAATTTTCTTTAGGCTTTTAATAATGAAAATTATTTAAATGAAGGATTTTTTTTTAATAATAGTAAGAATTTGCACTTGATAAAATATATTTAGAAATAAGTAACTCTTAGCAACTTCTTATATTTTTTAATAAAAAGTCGTCAAAATTTTTTAGACCCAAAAAAGTGGAAAAGTCAGCAAGTTCCACGGTAACAAGTTTATGAACGTACCTTTCAGATATTGCAATTCAATTGCCAATTTGTTGTTTGGGTTTTATAATTCGTTAGTAGCTACCATATTTTTTAAAACATCGCTATAATTGTGTAATATAGGGGTTATAGTAATGTAAACTTTGTCAAAAGAAAACGGTATGCAAATTGGGATGCATTAGAAAAGGTAAGATATAATTTACTAGAAAAAAACATTTACGACTACTGTTTCTTAATATGGTCACAATTTGTAATCGAACTTTGTATGTTATCGGATAAACTTTCCGATATGGACCATCGATTTAAATGCCCATTTTTTATTGTAGATAGTACTCACTAAAAGAAAGCGTTTTGCAAAGTTTTAAGTTGCGGAAACTTACTTTTTTATTTTTCATACATATTGGCAAATAACATGCAATTACAAAATAAATTTGACAAATAATTGATGTCAAACGTCAATCACTTCACGTTTCAATTATAGTGTAGGGTTCCGAAAATTTTGAAAGTATCGATACCAACTCGATACCAAGTATCGCATCAAAAGTATCAATACTACTTGGTATCGAGTACATTTCGTTTATTTTAAAATGCGTTCGTGAACACAAATTTACCTCAAAGAAAGATGTGCAAAAGTGTTATGAGACGCCTTCCTACTAGCAACATAGACTTGATTAATTAGAAAACTGTTTTTATAGGACATGATAATTATAGTTATGTAATTTGCTACGATGGCGGTCAGTGGCTAATAGGGCCCACTGACGGCACTGCGAGCAGCCAGCTGCTCGCAGTGCCATTGCCAATCATTCCAAAAGTGTGCATGAAGGCCCGATTTTTTTATCTGTGTTCCTTGTCGCAGCGCTGCAGTGCTCGGACCAATCAAGAAGCATGGAGACCGAGAGTTCAATTCAATGAACGTTTTTTGTGTGGTGACTCTTTCATCAAATATACTCAATAGTGCGATAGAAAGAGACAACACGCTGTAATCGATCAAATTGGCAGTCAAATCCGTGCGTGGCCTCTTTTGATTCTAGGAAGGTAGTGATGGGCACTATACAGAAGTATCAATATTGATGACATACGGTATTGATAGTAGGGAAAAGTCTTCATTTGTGTCATTTGTGGAACTTTAAATAAAAAAGGGAAATTTACTTTTTAATAACAAAGGTAGGTACATTTCGCACCTACCTTTGTTATTCGTAAAAAGTGTATCGAGTACAAAAATACTTGGTATTGAAATGAAAGTATCGATACTTTTTACGGATCACTAAATTTGTTTTTACACTGCTTACTGCTTAGAACGAAACACTTGTGCTCCCGTGTGTGCAATCCCCGGTCCTTGACGAACCGGTTGCTTGTCCTAGTGGGATGATTGGTCCCAGTAGATCAGCTTGTTCTTGTGGTAGCCTACCAGCTATATTTCTTCAGAGGACGAGGGCGAGGAATTTGCTGCTGCGATGCCCAGACCTACTGGGTCATCTGGCAGAAGGCCTTACTCGAATGAGTTAAGGTAAGTTTTGATTTATGTTATGATTACTGTACAATATCATTGTTATTTCAGGTCAGGTCAGTTTATAAAAGGGCGTATAATTAGTCAAATTTTTAATTTGCTTACTGGAATTTTAATAAAGTTTGATTGCATAAGAGCTGTAGTGGATTTTAAAATGAAATTTATAGCTGAAAAATTTGTCCTGTTTTGACTTTACAATGCAATTTGTATATATTTTTATTTTTGGAGAACACAAAAAGCAGCAATTATAATCTCTTTATAATACCTTTTTTATTAGGATCCATGTGTAACTGGAGAAAAATCTTCTCCAAATTGGGTACACACGAATAGTGTGTTCAGTTTGCGGAGGAGAGAGGAGTCATTCCAGTAGACAAAATCTGCACATACCACCGGAAGTCAATGATTTTGACAAAAGAATCAAGGCAAGTTGGAAAATTTAGATGCCGGAAAAGCAACTGCCGCACCAAAACAGTCTCTCGTGCTATTGGGACCTGGTTTGAAAACGCACACTTGTCCCTCACTTTAATATTTCAAATTATGTATGCATTTAGTGAGGAACTTTCTTACCACCAAACGAGGAAGGAGCTAGCCTGTGATGACGGCCTAGTAGTTTCGGACAGAACTGTGGCTGAATGGTTCAGTTATTGCCGGGAAACAATATCTATTTATGAACTAGAAAATTCTGAGCCTTCCTGAGCATGAATATATTCATAAAAGAGTGAATCATAGCGACCCAACTGAGAAATTTGTGGTACCAGACGGGACACACACGCAGCGCATTGAGAGCCAGTGGAGAGGATTAAAAGAAATTCAGACAACACTAAAACAAGCATAATTTTACGGATTGGTTGTGCGAGTAGAAAAATTATGACAAATCATTTAGATGCATATGAAGAGCTGATAAGTGCAATTAAATATGTATTCTATAAAATAGAATAAAGTTTACTCTATTTTAGTTCCACCTTAGTACTTGTATTTCATTGTTTGCAACCTGTTTGAGTTTTCCACTTTTTTGGGTCTAATAAAACTTGTTTGTATTTCCTAATTAGTACAGCTTTTGTACTTGTATTTCATTGTTTGCAACTTTCTGTATTATCTAATTCTTACCACAATAAAGTGTTTACTAACTTATTTAATATCCAAAAAGTAGCCAAAACCGAATCAGAGCACCCAACTATCCACGTGGTCTTGTCTGCCCTATCCCTAGAGTGTATATAAAAGAGCTCGGAGGCGCGGAGGGAGAGCAGTGTCCACCCGCCGTAGGGAACCGCAGGCACCGAGATCATCGTAGCGGCTGAGGCTGGTCTAGAAAAGCCGAAAGCCGAAGCTGCGAAGGCGAGCTTAGGTGCCGCGCTTTCCTACGCTAGGGCGGAAGGACTGCTCATCCCGCAGCGCCTGAGCTGCAACGGAGCGCCGGAGCACGACTTCCCCCGCTTCTACCCCCCTCACTTCCCCGCTACTAACCCCCCACCTCACTTCCCCGCTACTAACCACCACTCCCCTCCTCCCATAAGCCCCACCTTTTTCTTCATTTAATCAAGTTCATTTTCCTCCCCATATCCCCTCTACATTTCATCAGACATACGGAAACGAGAATAATAATAAATAATATAATAAAGTAAAACGAGATAAAGGTAAGGAAAGAAAATATCAGATTAAAATCATTCTATTAACTAAATAGCGCTATTCTAACCTTAAAACTTTAACCATGAATATCTCCATAACCAAGGGGTTCCGCAGGGTGGGGATGGCACAGGTGGATAGGTAGTTATGCAGGGCACAACATGCTAGTACAATTGGTTTAATGTTTTCAAGATCAACGTGTATATTGCTTTCCAATATTTGGAATCGGTTTACCATTATTCGTCTTCATTATAATACGTCTAGCTCTTGAAAGCCTGTAATTGTAAATGCGTCTTTCCGCATTTGGTACATTTTGATGAAATGGTGTCATGAATTCCTGCGATAGCGAAAAAGCTTGATCTCCAACTAAAACGTAGGGCAAATTGTAGCCACTTACATTTGATACTTTAGGCAGATTCAAAGATTTGTTCATTAGTTTTCGATAAAAATCAGTGTATTGGAAAACTCCACCATCTGACACTCGTCCGTTGATCCCAAAAGAAAAATAAATTAATTCATATTTTGAATTGGCTACCCCAAGTAAAACTTGACTATCGAATCCTTTGTAGTTACGAAAGTATGAACCAGCGCCAGGAGGTGGTTTAATAGCAATATGTTTTCCATCCACAGCACCTACACAATGTGGAAAGTTCCATCTCGTTCCAAAACCGTTCGCAATTTCAATCCAATCTTCTTTAGATTGTGGAAACTGTAAAAAAAATATATTTTCAGAGCCCTTCAATAGAAGAATCGAATACAGAAAGCGTACTATCACCAAGAACCCCACGACCAGAATTAAGCCTGTCTTGCAACTCAAGATCTTTTAAAAGAAAGCAAGCCAGTAACTCAGAATCACAATCAATACTGCGTACGATCGGAGACCGATTATCTTCTATTCGGGAAGAAGACGAGTTTGACATTATGGGCAAAAATGTGGCTTTAAAATTACGATCACTGTCTGCAATTCAAAAAATATATGCAGAAAAAATTATAAACGATACGTGAAGCACAACTAAATAATTTGAGCAGGTTTTCGAATCCTTTACCAAATTTGGATTATGCAAATTCTGTCGCCAATCAGCAAACAAAATTCTGTCGCCAATTAATAATCGGCCTGTGTTTCGTGGTACCCCCTGTCAATTAATCACGCGAGTGTAATCAGAAGAACAATTGCCAAATTTGGTAGAATTGTCTGGAGTCATTTCTGATAATATGTAAAATTTTCTGTTTGGAATTAATTTTTTTACTAATGCTTACTCTTTTTTGTATTAAATACATTAATAATCGATTATTTTCATTTTATTTACCTTATGATACTCCTTCAATGCTTCCAGAATTGCATAACATGTTTCTGGAACTATCCTCCCTAATGCTTGTGGTGATATGATGGTAGAATACTTTAAATCTTCATATTTTCTTACGGTGGCAAGTAATCTTAAAGTTGCAGTCAGACGCTCATTAGGAGATATAGCTTCCCGCATGTTTGTATTACTTTTTTCTATTGATGGTGCCACTAAATTGAATAACTGTAAATACAAATCCTCATCCATGTGAAGATAATTAAACCAGTCCTTTGGGCAAAGCTTTAGTTCTAGTAAAAGATTTGTGTGGGAATACTGCTCCCTTTGTCGTAGCCAAGGTTTAGCCCACAGTGTTCTTTTTTCCTTTTTTTGAATATACTAGTGCTAAGGCAGCGTAATATAATAACTCACTTTCGTCCATTATTCACGACCACTCCTTGCAGCGAACCGGAGTGAACTGATAAGATTACGCCGTGTATGTGCACCAATCCGTTCAGTCCGAACTGACGTAGTTTAGTCTCTTCAGTTTTACCTCCTAGTGTATGGGGGGCTTTAGCCTACACCCGGAAACCATTGACATTTTGAGTATGATTCCACAGGAATTTGAGACTGATTCCAATGTCTTCGACAGTGACAGCATAACAGTGAGTTCATACTATATTTTTGTAATTATTTTCTCTTAGCACTAACACAATGTTTAGTATCAGAATGAGTAAATTGTCTTATGATCATGACATGACTGTGTGATATTCTATTTTATTTTAGCATTCAGAGGTTCAAAGTCAGAAGTCCTCGGTTAATACAATAACACAAGAGTATGTTATCACTCCAGGAGATAATAATGATAATGTGCAAGAGGTTTGTTTATTTAAATTTGTTGATTGAATTTACTTTGATTAATACCTTTTGAATTCTGAATGACTTGTTAATATTCCAGAATATTACACCACTAACTTTCAAGATGCAAACTAAAATAGATAGAAGAACAAAACAAAAATTAACATTCAATCTTATGAATGATAATATACACATAACCAAACGTGAGTAAAATTTAATTTAATTTTAATCAAAAGTTTAATTTAAGTATAAACAAAATAATGGGATTAGTGATTTGTGATTGATATTCATGTTTATTACAGGAAAAAGACTTAACCAGAGAGCGCAATAATGTTCTTGTCAGTTGCGTAAACGAGGAACATGATTTAAAAATGTGATAGAAGCTCATAGTTTTATTAAAGAGGAACATAATTTAAAAATCCAAAAAAATATTATTGGAAAAAAAGAAGCGCAGCTTAGTGTTGAAAAACTTAAATTCGAAATTTTACTTTTAAAATAAAAATTGCCACAATAAAATAAATACCGTTTACCTTTTTTATGTTAAATTAATATTTTTTATGTTAAAAAATCAAATTAAGTTAAATTGAATTAAATTGAATAAGATTAAATTAAATTAGATACATAGATTAGATTGATTTGAATTAAATTAATTTAGAAGAAATTAAATTTATTATATGTCACTTATATGGTCTGAAATAAATTGATTTTATTTATTTTTTATTTTATTTATTAATAAAGCATTTGTAACTAAAAGTGTGTTTTAATGAATAATCTCCTTGTTTCTTGACCAGATCGGCTATCAAGACTTTCCCTTAGCATTTGTTGGTCACCATAATCTTCAGATATGACTGGTTGAAGAAAATCATTTTTTTTTAAATATTTAATTTTTTTTTTTTTTTTTTTTCATGTGTGCTGACCCTCCAGTGTGCCACTATGTCCCTTATCTTTAATTGAACATCACAAACTACTTGTACATTTAAGGATGAAAATCCCTTTCTGTTTATATAATATTCAGCACTATCGCCTCTGACTTTTTTAATATTTACGTGTGTGCAATCAATAGCAGCAATTACTTGCTTAAGGCTACAAATGTTTATAAATACAGAAACCACCTGTTCTTGGTCTTCTAAAGTCCTAGGCGTGCGTATAAATTCTGCCGCTTTACTTGCCAAAGCAAGAGCTACTCTTCGACATATATTCGTGATGGACTGTTGGCTAAGTCCATGAATGTCTGCTGCATTATCTTGAACGTCTTGTCTAGCCCACGCTCTGAGAGTACTGAGAGTACCTGAAGTTCTACAGACTGCCCGCCTCCACGTTCGATGGTTGACGCTCGTAGTTCGATGTCACGTTGAACTAACTCAACTATTTTTTCGTATATATTTTACTTTATTTATATTAATTAATCTTATAGAGTAAAGGATCAAAACGTTTTTTGTAAAGTTTTCTTTTTCTTGGTGGTTCCTCACGGTCGATTTCATCAAGAATATCGAAATATTGTCAATAATCCATTATTTTCAAAAACGCCACACGTCACATTGAGGTTATTCACGTCTTAAACAAAGGTTGAGAACTGTACAACGGTTGCGTAATTTCCCATACAATTTAAACACTCGTTATATCAGATGTATACAACCGAACTGTCAAACGTCGTGTGTAAATCTTTATTAGTAAGGCTAAGGTTAATCTTTTAATTATTTGTTGGAGCAGACATATCGTTACTTTTAACCATAAAATATGGATCCCACTGAAGCAGAAGCCGCTCAAGTGGTAGCTCCCAATCGTGAAGGGCTGTCAGCGAAATGTGGCAATGAGATTAAATTCGAGCCGATCAGCAGTGCGTAGAGTTTATAAACGATACTTAGACACGGGAGAATACCGCCGAAGACCAGGGTCTGGAAGAGAACGTCTCACAAACCCGACGGATGACCGTTTTATTACCTTGACTTCTTTGCGAAATCGGCATGTTAGGCTGAGGGAAACTCTTGGAGTGTCTGTAAGTGACAATACGGTGAGAAGAAGACTTCTGGAGCATAACCTGACACCAAACAAGCCAGCGACGGGACCAAAACTCACTGCATCTCATCGGCAAGCAAGGTTAGAATTTGCTAAGCAACACGTGTAATGAAATCTTGGTCAATGGGAGACAGTTCTCTTCAGCGATGAAAGCCGAATGACACTTGTGGTCTCTAATGGACGTCGTAACGTTATGCGAAGACCAGGAGAACTTTATGCTCAGTGTTGCACAAGAGAAACAGTCCGGTTTGGTGGAGGCTCTACAATGTTTTGGGGTGGCATATTTTAACCGAATGTACTGAGTTAGTTTTTTTTCGCAATCATGCGGTTAATGCTTAAAGTTACATTAAGGACATTTTGAAACCTCATGTGATGCCTTACGCTGCGTATATTGAGGAAAATTTTCAACTCATGCATGATAACGCAAGACCGCACGTCGCTAGAATTGTAACTGGATATCTTGAGGAGGTCGGAATTCCAGTTATGCAGTGGTCAGCTAATAGTCCGGACTTAAATTCCATCGAGCATCTCTGAGACCAGGTAAAAAGAAAGGCTAGAGCCCGAAATCCAGTTCCAGAGACGTTGGATCAACTGGAAGCCGCCTTAACATAAGAATGGGAACAGACACTCCAAGAAGACATAAAAAAGCTGATCCGTTCCCTTAATAGGCGTATGCAGGCGGTGATAAAAGCAAGAGGAAACACCCCATATTAGACAAAGGTTTACATTTTTTTAAATGTCAAAAAATGTAAATATCGATCTTCACAGTAAAATCGTAAATTTTGTAAAATGTTATGGTTTCAATGTCTCATCACATTTGTATGTAAAATATCCCGTTTCACGCGCCATTTTTCAGTTTTTTACAACCCTATAATTGCATTATTACATTATCAAGATAAAAAATATATATAGATTGTTGCATTGCGTTGTGGCATTGCTAACTTGGCAACACACGAAAGTGATTTGGGGTTTGCCAAATTTCAAAATTTTACTGACACTCTAACTCACCATACGTTTCGTCAATATGATATCAGGTGGGTTTCTCTACATCAATGCATTCACCGAATTATAGAGCATTGGTCAGCATTAAAATTTTAATGCAAATGCTACTTGTCAATTTATATTTGATCGCCTTAACAGCGATGAGACAAAACTTTGCTTTTTAGATTTTATATCACCCATAACTACAAAATTTAATGTTATTTTTCAAAGTGATCAGACACTTATTCATAAAATTGAAACAGATATACAAAATACAATGATGAATTCCATTTTGAGGTGCTTTATGAAGATAAATTATATATAAAAACTACTCCGCTTCAGTCAATAGATCCAAGTTCAAGAATGCATGTCCTTCCTATACAAAACATGTACCTGGGCACAAACCTAGCAATGACATTGGAATCATTAAAAGATGATGTTCGTTGAGTTCATTTTTGATCGAGCTGAGTAACCAATTTCTGCAAAGACTACCTGTACAAGATAATTTTTTGCAGGATTTCGATTCCCAAAAAGCAGTGTATGGTGAATTTCGAATTCTGATAAGAATACTCCAAAGGTTTAACTAACGTAGTTGCAACAGAAAACATGCAAATTGTTGACAATGAATATAGGGAATTAAAATTAAATGTTCCCGTGTCTAATTTACTGTCAACTTCTAGTTCGAGGTTTGAAACTTTTATGGTGGATAAATTTTGGAGTGAAGTCAGCTAAATCTGTGATGCGAATAGCACACCAAAGTATGGCAATTTGTTCCGATTTGTTAAGCAAATGACGATACTACCTTTGTCAAACACCAAAGTAGAAAGAATATTTTCCTATATTAATAGGATTAAAAATCAAGATCGAAATCGATTTAATAATAAGAATGTTGCTGCAATAATGCATGGAAAAGAGGGGCTACGACAGTTGGAAGGGGGATGTAGCAGATTTGATCCAGGCAGAAGTATGATAAAGTTAATGGACTCAAAACAGCTTTATGACAATGTTACCCAACATAAAGACGAAGAATCTTAACTTTAAGTTCCATTTTATTATTATTTTTTAAATTATATTTTTAATTAGAACTTAATTTAAAAAAATGTTGCTTTAATTAATGGTGGTTTCTTTGTTATTTTTATTATTTTATAGTTTAATCAAAAAAACATTCATGTTTTTACGTTGTAACACGGCAGCAAAAAATATAATAGATTTTTAGTAGATGGTTCTCTTTTGGTAGAATTTAGTAGCTTTTAACCTCCACAAGCAGTAGATTAGTTAATAAACTGATTCATCAAGTATGCATCTAGATGTAAACAGTTGCTCTTTTGTTTTTTATTTATTTAAAAAATACTTGGGCATCTATCCCTATCAAAAAGGATAGTTGCCCCGATTTTTCGAGGTATAGGTGCCCCTAGGTATTGAAGGTCATGTTATTATACAGAATTATAAAAATTTTTATTGAACTAATTGATGTTAGATTCCAATGCCTAGATTTTTAACGTAGTTTTTTTTTTTGTAAGAAAACATCCTATCTTGGATTTTGACAACGAATAAAGACTAGTAAAGCACATTCTAAAGCTTGGAGTTGCAGGATTTCCCCCAAATAGACAATCCATACGTACTACTACGTACGGTACCTTACAACCTGCTCCAGCTATTTCGTTATCGTAGTCAAAATATAATTTTGACTACGATAACAAAATGGCTGGAGCAGCATGGTTCAAAAGTTTTATTGAACGAAATCCAGAGCTTTCTATTAGACAAGCTGAAGGTTTATCTGTGGCTAGAGCAAGGGCCTGAGTAGAGAAGAAGTAAATAACTTCTATGATCTTTTTATCAAAGTCTTGACCGAAATTGATCTGTTGGACAAACCGGAAATGGATGAATCCGGAATTCAATTGAATAATAAACCCGGAAAATTCATGCCAAAAAAAAGGTGCCAAAGTCGTCAATTCAGTCACATCTGCCGTGAAAGGTGGAACAATGACAATCGTTGCCTGTTGCAATGCAATTGGTAATTTTCTTCCGCCAGTTTTTATAATAAAAGGTGTGAATAAGAAACCTGAATTTCAAGACAGATTTCCAATGGGCTCAAAGTATATATGAATAAAAAATCGGCATATATAAATGCTTCGCTTTTCGATAAATGGCTAACGGAACATTTCATCCCTCTGAAGACGCATGTTAAAGCTGCTGCAGATAACGAGATAATTTTATTGTGTTTACCTAGTCACACAACTTCAGCTTTACAACCTTTAGACAGATCATTATTTGGGCCATTTAAAACCTACTTCAACAAAGAAACTAAGCAATTTACGCGCCTTAATCCAAATAAAAAGATCAGCCGTTACGACGCAGCAAAGCTTATACGCAATGCTTGGATTCGCGCTGCCACTCCTGCAAATGCTCTTGCTGGCTTTAGAGGTAGCGGTATTTATCCAATTGAACGAAATGATTTTCAGATACTACATTCCTGATATCAGATACTGCACTGGATAGCGAAAATCCCGGCACTTCTCGTGCACCTCATCAAGTTGACTGAACGTCAACAACCCAGGCTCAAACGCCTTATTCGTTAGATTGCCAACCAAAGCTTGTCAATGTCTCGGAAAGTATTGTATCTCGTGAACCCATTGAACAAAGAACAGAAACCTCTCTACCTCAGACACTACTTCTGTAGTTTGTCAAATAGAGCTGGACAATCGAAAATAAAATATTTCTGAATATGAACAAAATAAGATACCAACGAATCTGATGCATATTGAAATTGACAGGAAAACTCCTAGTCTCTTTATAGATTCCGAGGTTTTAGTATTGTTGACATTGATGATTTTACAATTGCAGAGATTTTAGGCAGCAATATAGAATCAGAAACACCTTCGAAAATTCTAATAGAAGCATCACCTATACCAAAAATTCCTTTAACCATGTCTAAGAGGGCGAAACAGTCAGCAGATATTTTGGATTCGAAAGAGAATAAAGAACAAAAAAAGATATAGCTGAAAGAAAGGAAAAACAAAAAAAACAAGACTCAATCTACCAAAGTAAAAAGAGAACTTAAGAAAACAAAGTCCTTTCTTTGCTTAAAGAACGACAACGAAAAAAAACATTGTTTTAGTGACAACGATAATGATGACCTAGCTAATTTATGTGATGATGGACAGGATAAGCCTAATGCCTAAGACACAAATAAAGATAACTGCATAGAATGTTTTGAAAACTATAAACAAACGAAGTTTAAATCCGACTGGATTCAAATTCAAAGAATTAAGTAGAATTATATGCTAACGATGACAATTGAAAAAATATATTAAAAACTGAAAAATGCTTCATTATTAGGCCCATGTTTCTTGGAAACAATTTCTGTTTTAGGAGTAACTTTCTACCGCTAAAACACCAATTTTCCTCAAAACCTTATAAAAGTTTGGTTGAGTTTTTCGTTTATACAGTATGAAGGGCATATATCCCGCGCCGCAGGCATCTATCCTTCTTAGTATTTTTAAAGTGGGGCAACTATCCATACGGGTAGGCATCTATATCCTGAAAAGGAGTTCCACAAAAACCAAAAATTTGCAAAATCTGTAATTTGTATAGCCAAAAATACAAATCACAGTTAATCATAGATAAACTATTTTTATTAATGGTTCTTAATAAGATATTTCAAAAAGTACCGCATTTACCCTATGTAATTTAAAATGACAAGAAGATACGATCAGACTTATTGTGCAGAATAGGAAGAAAACCCATTATTTTCAAAATGGGTTGAAAATGTGATGACAATAATACTTATTGTATAAATCTTGTAATTCTAAAACTTTAGCAAGAATTGCGTCTATCAAAGAGCATAGTGCTTCAGCAAAACATATCAAAAATATGATTGGTTTTTCTGGATCGTCTCTGGTACTTTTTTTCTTTTAAATGTCTCTTTTGATATATTATTAATTTAGCAATATTTGACTTTATGCATGTAATTGCCTTGAAATGTTAACACATCCGTACCGTGTCTGTTATTTAAGCGTGGAAATAAAATTGATTACTTATTAATTACTCAATTGGTAGGTGTCCTATCTTCTGTGCCAAGGACCACGGGTTCAATCCGCGCTCAAGATAAACATTTGTGTACAACATGTCTGCATTAGAATAAGCGTTTAACTATTTAGGTAGTCAGCCACCTTTACGCGCTGAAACGTAATGTTTCGTATTTTCATTATACTAAGTTAATTACATAGCATAGATAAATAATTCATTTTATATGACGGGTGGATCATACCATTATTTTACAGATAGATAAATACTTCAAGAAGACATCACTTGACAGAGAAGTAAAGAAGGCAGAAATGTCTATCGTTGCTTGTCTTGTAGAGCACAATATACTTTTCCGAATAATGGAACACCTGGAAATCAATTTGAAGCAATAATGTACGAAGTCCGGATAGTCCAAATTTTCAACTATAATTGACGAAAGCACCGACATCAGCACTACAAAAGTTTTGGCAATCGCCACAATATATTATTCCGAAAATGATTTACGCGTGAACACTCGATTGTTAAATATCTATTATATAGACGGTGAAACAGCACAACACTTGTTAAAGTAAAATAAAATTGTATTTGAAGAACGTGATCTTAAATGGGAAGATATGATTGGTTTCGAAGCTGACACGACAAATGTTATGTTTTGCGAGCATTCTGGAATTGTGGCTTAAATTAAAGAACTAAATTCACACTGTGTACATGTCAGTGCGTGTGTCATTCCGTTTCGTTAGCTGTAAGCCATTTGTGCAAATTACTGCCACAAAAATTAGAGCAATAGGTTTATATTGGTATTATTTTCCTCAAAATAGTAAACATCAGCGCGAGTTCACAGAATTCCAAGATTTTACGGAAACAAAACATTATAAGCTACTCAGACATTATGATATACGCTGGCTTTCCCTTTAAGGTTGTACGAATATTACAACGATGGTCAGCATTATAATTATATTTTCAGGGACAGTATTTGGGAAATAGAAAGTCCAATGCATCTGCGGAATTTCTTTATAATGCCTTAAATGACGAAACGATAAAACTATATTTCTATTTCCTTGATTATGTATTACCATTCACAAATAAATTCAACATGATTTTCCAAGGAGATTACCCTGTCGTGCATCGCTTGTACAATGATATGCGAGACATTTTTGTCTCCATTTTGAGCTCTTATATGAAGAGCCAATATGTAAAAACTACATCAATGAAGAATATTGACCCCAATTCTTCCGTAAATTATTTACACTTAAACAAAATTTAGTTATTATATATAGTTAACTTTGCCAAACATTTAGAATCACATCGCGCTCAAATACTACCGCAACAGCTTCAAGATATTTTTAAAAGGTGTCAAGAATTCTTAACATCTTTGTGTGTGCAGTTAAACCAGATTACCATTTGATGAAGAAATTTTTGAAATGATGTGCTACATCCCTAAACTGCTGTATATGCTGAATTTACAAGTTATTTCAAATCGTGACTACCCAAAATGGCTCAAATATTACTCTAAAAATTAGTAGATTTCAAAATGCGAGCTAGTAGATTTCAGTAGATTTTAGTAGTCTTTGGTAGTTTCCCTCATTAAAAAGTGATCACGGTGATGTCAGACATCTCATTCACCGCTGGGAGCTAGAGTGGTGCGATCGCGTCATAGAGGTAAGTGACCGCCATTTTCAGATACGATAGTCACAGGCGTCAAAATCTTTTACGAGTACGTGACGTTACGATATTTGGTGAAATGGTTATTTTTGTTGTTTTTTTATTGTATTAGTTATTTTTATTTATTTCAGATATAGTTCTTATTTTTTAGCTATCCTGATACTGCAAAGCCATAATGGCGACTAGAGATTTGGATGAAGACCACATCCTGGCCGCTCTTTTAGAGAGTGATGAGGAGCCGCCCTGTGCTGACATTGACAACGAAGTTGAAGATCACGGGAGCGTGGATGAAATCAAGAACGAAGAGGTAGAAGGTTTTGTGGACAAAGTGAAGGAAGAAGAAGCAGCAACTCTATTCGAAATTGACCACATGGAGGAAGAAGGATCTTAACAACTCTCTCAACGGATTCTCGTCGAATAATAACTGACACGAGGAATTATCAGAGGTAGGAATAGATATGGCCGGTCGACATCAAAGTCTTCAAGACGTGATCGAGTCTCTGCGCAGAACATCGTTAGGTATTGAAGGAGTACAAAACGTCGCAAACGTATCTTTATGACCCTGTTTTATGTTTCAACTTCTTTACTGATGAAATAATTTCCGAAATTGTAAGATGGACCAATTCTGAAATATCCTGCAAAAGACGGGAAACTATGACGAGTGCTACATTCAAAACCAAAAGTGAGGATGAAATCAGTGCTTTGATCGGTATCTTGATAATGACCGCAATGAGAAAAGACAACCATATATCCACAGAAGAGTTAATCGACCGACCTTCTTAAACATTATATGTCTCCGTAATGAGTAGTGATCGTTTTGATTTTTTGATCCGATGCCTTAGAATGGACGACTAAAATGTGTAGCCGGTAATGGGAGTCAATGACATTTTTACACATGATCTTAAAATATGGGATATGCTTATCAATCAATGTATAATACATTATAAACCCAGGGGCTTTCGAGGAAGATGCCCATTTAGGATGTACATTCCTAACAAGCCAAGCAAGTATGGACTCAAACTTGTCATATGTGATAACAGTACAAACTACACGATAAATGCAATGCCTTATTTAGGAAAAGGAACTCTTGGAGAAATCTTTTGGAAAAGGAACGAATGGCTTACCCCTCGAAGAATATTATGTGAAGGAATTAACAAAACCCATACATGGTAGTAACCCTCTCCTATAAACCGAAACCGGCTGAAACGGTTTACCTACTATCATTATGCGATGAAGATGCTTCCATCAATGAACCCACCGGCAAACCGTAAATGATTTATTACTATAATGAAACCAAAGGTGGAGTTGATACACAGGACCAAATGTGTTCTACAATGTCCACTAGTAGAAAGACGAACACATGGCCTACGGCAATATTTTATGGGATGTTAAACATTGCCTGTATAAATGAGCATGTTGTGTACACTCACAATGTTGTTACGAAAGGTAAGAAGGCATTAAATCGCAAAAAAATCATTAAAAACCTGAGCCCCAACATCGCCGTTCATGGGAAAGCGGTTGGATGCACTTAGTTTGAAAAGATATTTGTGAGACACTATTACAAATGATTTGTTGGCAATGAGTACCCAAGAGCCAACAGAAGAGGATACAATAGAGCCAGTAGCCAAACACGAGGCTACTGCAAATATTGACCGTCTAAAATAAAAAGAAAAGCAAATGCCATGTGCAAAAAATGTAAAGCTATTATTTGCCAACAGCATAACGTTGATATGTGCCTAGACTTTTTGACTGATTTTTATTATACAATTTTCATGTTATTGTTCAATTTTTGGTTTTTTGTTACTGAGAATATAATATAAAAATACTGATTTATGATAACACTATGAAAGAGCTTTATAAGAAAAGAGAAATTCCTACGTTTTGTTCGTTCGTTCGTTTTGTTTTTTTCATTGGCGGCGCTAGTGTGCTTGTCATTCCACCTTAAAACCCTTTTTTGAGGATGATGAATGGATAGATGTTTGTTAATCATTGTATTTTAGATATATAATTGTCACCTTGCTAATTTTCCCAAAGTTAACTATTAAGTTACCAAACATGTTATTTCAGGTCTCAGATAACCAAATTAACGTAACATCATCAAAATCTCCGTCACCTTCTATGTCATCTAAATCTGCTAAGCGAGCGATACGGTTAGATTCGGATATATAATGAAAACTCCCAGAAAACGAAAAATTCAACGAATTACAAACGAAAAGGAAAATATTATAAAAACTCAACGATCGAAATTTAAAAAGTTTTCAATGTAAAAACCGGAGATATAAAAAATATAGAGCTGCAAGAAATAATGAAGGAATTACACAAGGATTCTTTTTTAGAAAACACCAACGTTAGCACAAAAGAGTTATTTCAAAGATGTGAGAAGAAATTAAAATCTAAAAAAAATTACACGTGAAAAATACTTAGCGAGCCTTAGAAGTTTTGCCATGACGCTACATTTTTATTCGCGAAGGCACATCTTTATGTAAGACGCAAGTTTAAGACCTGCTTGCTTCACCCCAGAACCATTAAAAATGGTATCAATCTTTTGACGCAGAACCTGGTTTTACCATAGTCCCTTGATGCTATAAAATCTAAAGTTCAATGTACACTATCCAATATTACGTAATATGGTGATGGATGAGATGGCGATTCGTCAGCGCACCGAATAGGATGGGAAACGTATGCAGGGTTATGTCAATTTAGGAAACAATTTAAGCGATGGTAGGGATCATGCATGTGAAGCTAATGAGACTTTAGTATTTCTTGTTACTGCAATTAACGGGGCATGGAAAATTCCTGTCGGATACTTTCTGACAGACGGTGTAACAGGTGAGCAAAAGTCGAACCTAGTGAAGTTGAAGTTGTTTCTCTGACGTTTGACGGTTTTTCTTTGCTAACTTTTCGTTGCTAGCCTTACAATGGCAAAAATTCTCGGATGCTCTTTTAAAATCAATAATATTATAAAGACTCGTTTTAGCCATCCCGTTTCACAAAAACCAATTTACGTTTTGTTGGATGCTTACCCCATGGTAAAACTAGTATATCACAATAAAGTGGTCGTACCTGGTTCATCTTAAATATCTACAGGAAAAAGAACATTTACATCTTGCAAACAAGTTAAGGCGTCGCCATATTTATTTCTACGAGGGTTGTACCAAAAGTAAGGTTCCCAATGAGCTTGTGGAGAAACGACGCGCTCCGCCTCGGGCGTTATCGTAAACAGTCGGCGGCGCGAACGCCGCTACAAGGGGCACTCGGTTTTCTCCAGCCAGTCAGTCGGTTTAGCTACGCGACGCCGAGAGGCTGCCCGTCTTGCGCCCCGTTCACGACTACGCGATACGATTATTGTTTGTTCGATTTATTGTTATACGTGTCCTTCAATAAACTATTAACTGTATATGTGTGGTTTAATTCGCCATCAGCCACATATATTTGGTGACCCCGCGCGCGCGAGTGTAAAGACAGTGCTAAGACTTTTATTTCGCTATTCGCCATTTTCGAAATGCACAATAGCAAATTTGACGCATTGGCACCGACGCCGCCGGAATCGAGCGTATGCCGCGTCGGTGTAAAAGCACCGCCATTTTGGCCGGACGAACCGACGTTGTGGTTCGCACAATTAGAAGGACAATTACAACTGGCAAATATTACGGCAGATAATACGAAGTTCAATCATGTGATCTCCAATTTAGACTATAGATATGTAACGGAGGTGAAAGACGTAATTACTAACCCGCCGTCTGAAAACAAATATGAAAAAATTAAGACCGAGCTTATAACCAGATCATCAGCATCCCAAGAACAACGGGTTAGACAACTATTGGCGCACGAAGAACTGGGAGACCGGAAACCGTCCCAGTTCTTACGGCATCTAAGAAATTTAGCGGGTAACGACGTTCCAGACGAATTCCTAAGATCACTTTGGACAAACCGATTGGCTAACCACATCCAGGCTATTATCGCAACGCAGACAGGTACCGGTTTAGACGCCGTGGCACAATTGGCGGACAAGGTCAACGAGGTCATGTTCCCGCCGCAGGCGCAACACGTGGCTTCAACATCGACGATCGCAGCGCCATCTGAGTTTGACGATTTGAGACGTCGCTTAGATGACCTATCTAGTCAAGTAGCTTCACTGACTATACATCGTGCGCGTTCAAGATCACGAAGGCGTACTTCTAGTTACCGTAAACGTTCACGTAGCCGTCCTGCCTCCACCCACGACCAGTGCTGGTATCACTGGAAGTTCGGAAGCTCCGCTAACAAGTGTAGATCGCCGTGTAAGTTCTCCGGTCCTCAACCGGGAAACACCAAAGGCAGTCAGTGACGGCGGCTAACGACTGCCATACTTCCGGCCGCTTGTTTGTTACGGACATTAAGACGAAAGTGTGTTATTTAGTGGACACCGGGTCAGATCTGTGTGTATATCCGCTTGGCATGCTACGCAGTAAGCGCCTTTTAAAGACTAACTATGAACTTTTTGCAGCAAATGGGTCTACCATTGCTACTTACGGCTGGGTGAATTTAGTGCTGGACTTCGGACTACGCCGTGCTTTTAATTGGCGTTTTGTAATAGCTAATGTTACGAAACCAATTATAGGAATAGACTTTTTATCGTTTTATAATTTACTTGTGGATGCTAGGCATCATAAGTTAATAGACAATACAACCTCTCTTGTCGCTAAAGCATCTCCTGTTGCATTACCCGTTTTATACCAAATCAAAACATTTACAGGCATTTCACGCTTCTATGATCTGCTAACACAGTACCCGGAGATCACGCGCCCAGCAGGCTGTCACGCTGCGCGTGAGGTGAAACACAACACCGTGCACTACATCCGCACCACGTCTGGACCACCTGTCACCTGCCGTCCACGCCGACTAGCACCTGACCGTCTGCGCATCGCAAAAGAAGAGTTTGAAGAGATGGTAAGATTAGGTATTGCTAGACCCTCCGACAGCTCGTGGTCGTCACCTCTGCATCTCATCCCAAAGAAAGACAACACGTGGCGTCCATGCGGTGACTATCGGGCGTTAAATGCACGCACGATACCCGACCGCTATCCAATTCGACACATCGGAGATTTCTCACACAATCTCTTTGGCTGCACCATCTTCAGCAAAATAGATCTGGTACGTGCTTATAACCAAATACCAGTAGCACCTGAGGATGTACCTAAAACTGCCATTGCAACTCCGTTTGGTCTGTTCGAGTTTCCTTATATGGGCTTTGGGATGTGCAATTCGGCACAAACATTCCAACGTTTTATGGACGAAATTCTAAGAGGTTGTGATTTTGCATTTCCTTATCTTGATGACATTTTAGTAGCATCTAAAAACATAGAAGATCACGAGCGACACTTACGATCTGTCTTCGAGCGCCTCAAGGAATATGGTGTGCTAATCAACAGCTCAAAATCAATTTTTGGAGCACCTGAAGTGGAGTTCCTTGGGCTTTATTGTAACCGCCGAAGGAACGAAGCCAACACCAGATAAGGTTAGTGCCATTTCGAATTATCCACTTCCGAAGAACATAAAAGAACTCCGCAGATATCTTGGCATGTTGAACTTCTACCGCCGATTTCTACCTAACGCAGCTAGAGTACAGGCACCTTTAAATTACCTCCTCTCAGGGACGTCTCTGAAGGCCACCACACCAATCAATTGGACAACCGAACTAGAAAAATCATTTGAGGAAAGTAAAGAAAGCATAGTTAAAGCGACTCTGTTAGCACACCCTGACCCACGAGCACGCTTAGCCATAGTCACCGATGCCTCCGACAGTGCTATAGGCGCAGTGCTGCAGCAGAAATCTGGTGCAGAATGGATTCCTCTAGGATTTTTCTCAAAGAAACTGAACAACGCTCAACGTAAATACAGCCCCTACGATAGAGAGTTGCTAGCAATATACGAGAGTATAAAATATTTTAGGTATATGGTCGAACTTAAGCCATTCACTGTGTTTACCGATCATAAACCCATCATCTCCGCTTTTAAGAAAAATTCGAACAACTGCTCACCTAGACAATTTCGATACCTAGATTATATCGCCCAATTTACAACCGACATTCGCTACATTTCAGGAGAGAACAACGTCGTTGATCTCGAGTAGACATCATAAGCAGTGCAGTCAACTTAGAGGATGTATGTGCAGCACAGGAGACAGACGACGAACTTCCGCATCTTCGCCATCATACATCTTGAAGCTTAGGCAGTTAGACCTATCTGGCACCGGAATGAAACTCTACTATGATGTATCAGGTACGCCCCCACGGTTATACTTACCTAAAACGTTACGACGACAAGCCTTCGATACGATTCACGGCCTGAGTCACCCAAGTGCGAGAGTCATGATTAAGCTGACGACAGCAAGATACGTATGGCCTAATATTCGAAAAGACTGTCGACAATGGGCACGTACCTGTGTTGATTGCCAACTCTAAAAGGTAGCACGGCATACACGATCTCCAGTACATGCTTTTACTTCACCAACTAGCAGATGCATGTGGATCTTATCGGACCTCTGCATATCTCCAAAGGATATCGGTATTGCTTAACCGTTGTTGACCGGTTTACACGATGGCCTGAAGTGATACCACTCGAAGACATAAAAGCTGAAACAGTAGCCAATGCATTCGTCAGAGGTTGGATATCACTATTTGGTTGCCCGCTGAAAATAACTACGGATAGAGGCAGGCAATTTGAGTGTTACCTTTTTAAAGAACTTTCCAAATTAACAGGCACACATCACATCACCACCACTGCTTATCACCCGGCAGCAAACGGACTCGTAGAGCGGTTTCACCGGTAGCTGAAAGCAGCCATCATATGTCATGCTGAGCAAAGTTGGTATGAAATCCTTCCATTAGTTCTACTCGGAATACGAAGTTCATGGAAAGAAGATATCGCATCCTCGTCGGCAGAGCTTGTATATGGCGAAGCTATACTAAGAGACTACCAGGCGATTTTTTCGACTCTACTTCCACAGCAGTCGTAGATTATAATGACTTCCTATCACAATTACGACACTATATTCAAAACTTAAAGCCGACAACGGTAACACGACATGGTTCAACAAAAGTTTTCGTACACAAAGACTTACGTAAATCATCACACGTATTTCTAAGACACGACACCATAAAAAAAGCTTTACAGCCACCTTACGCTGGACCTTTTTAGAGTGGTAAAACGTGGTGATAAAACATTTAAAATTGATCTTAATGGTAAAATTACAACTGTTTCCATTGACAGACTTAAGCCTGCTTACCTGCTTACCGAGACACCAGAGAGCTCGCAGAGGAGTAAGCTGAGTCCAGCAGAAGAACCTCTCCCCTACACCACCAGATCTGGCAGAAGAGTGAGGTTCACTAATTCCTATCGACCATAAGGTCTCCGGGGGGGCTGATGTGGAGAAACGACGCGCTCCGCCTCGGGCGTTATCGTAAACAGTCGGCGGCGCGAACGCCGCTACAAGGGGCACTCGGTTTTCTCCAGCCAGTCAGTCGGGTTAGCTACGCGACGCCGAGAGGCTGCCCGTCTTGCGCCCCGTTCACGACTACGCGATACGATTATTGTTTGTTTGATTTATTGTTATACGTGTCCTTCAATAAACTATTAACTGTATATGTGTGGTTTAATTCGCCATCAGCCACAAGCTACAGCCTCGAGGGAAGGTGCTAGGCTAAATACGACAACACCGTGCCATGCGCAGTTGTTCCCTGCTTTCGAGCCCGCCCGTCCGCGATTCGCTACGTCACTCCTTGTTTGCTTGGCAGCCATCTGATATGGAAGTTTTGATCGCCGCTACCGCCAAATGCGAGGTTCGAGCAGTAAACCCGAGAGCGCGACAGTTCATGGCTATTTATAAAACACTAATAGTCATACTAGAATTAAATAATTTTTAAAGTGGTAATGGAAAAAGTGGAAAAATTTCAATTTCTACTACTTCTTTTTTATCACGGGAAAAATCATTAAATCCACTTTATCACCAATGGTTAAAGAAGAAAAAATGGTAAATGAAGACATTAAAGGTAAATGAATACATTAAAGAAGTTGATCAAGTTTTGAAAACGGGAAATTTCATGTCAAAATTTAGTTTGGAAGTATTAACCCTTTATAAGGTAAAGGCAGTATACATGCCACCAACTAATCTATTTTTTATTTCTATTTGTGTTGTTGATGGTCCTTTTATTTTTCACGTATGGTAACATTGATCATTTTTACTTCATAAATGAGTATCCCTTTGACAGATAATTCAAAGCTGTCAAATCAAAGTCAGCCATAATTGCGTGAAAGTGGTGTTTATCTGACGGAAAATTTCATCTAGTTAGATCTTCTTAGATTTTGGCTAAAATGGTAAGATAACTTATTAATCATTATTTTGTATGTATTGTGCTAATGTTTTGCGTGCGATTTTGGCACTGAACGTTTGGTAACTTGTTTTATTTAAATTTTTTTGGTGGCAGTATCTATGCCATTACCCGTTCACTGTTGTTTTGGTGGCAATATAAATGCCATTGCCTGTTTGTATTTCAGGCATACCTAAATGATATATAATATAATGAATAATAATATTGAGAATGAGCTGGAGCAAATGTTTGGGCTTCCTGATTATCCAGACGAATCGTGCAACGTGACAACGTGCAATGTCGGAGGATCCCAATATTATTCAAAATCAAGGAAGTCCAGTGAGTTTCCTTTCTTCTAATGATGGTGAAATAAGAGAAAATATTGATCCTAATATAGGAGTACCTAATATTGAATATAGCGATATTGAAGGCGCAGAAATCTTGCGACCAGTCCGACCATCACAAGTATCTCGAACTATTTCGGAATCTTCCACTGACTCTTCCATGATGAGAATGAAAATGATTGGAAAAAAGGTAGTATGTGGCCGGATAGGCCAAATGCAGATAAATATGATGAAGTTACCTTGAAACCTAAAGTTTTCTTTCCAAGCAGGACTTCTCCAATGGCTTATTTTTCGAGGTATTTTTCTGAAGAAGTAATTGATCTCATAATTGAGCAAACTAATTTGTATGCCTTTCAGAAGGCGACTTTACTTTGGGAACCGGTTAGAAAGCCTGATATTGATGCTTTTTTAGGAATTATTATTTTGATGGGTATTCATGTTTTACCATCTATAGATCTATACTGGTCTACTGGCCCATTTTTTAGAGTCGACGAAATAGCACAAGTAATGACGTGCAAAAGGTTCAAAAAATTTTTAGAAAACCTTCACCTAAATGATAAGCCCAAAGCTCCTGCTAAAACAAGTAATTAATATGACAAACTATATAAAGTTCAGCCTGTCTTGGAAATGTTGAACAATGCTTGTCAAAGAGAAGCTAAACAAACAACCTCCCAGAGCATAGACGAAGCAATGATACGATTCAAGGGTGTATCATCTTTGAAACAATATATGCCTGCTAAACCTATCGAAAGGGAATTCAAGGTTTGGGTTCATGCCGATAGTTCTACTGGTTATGTATACGAATTCCAGATTTACACCGGTAAAAATAAAAACAATACACCGGAGTTAGGTCTGGGTGATAATGTTGTCAAATCCTTGACAAAAACTCTAATTGACGAGAAAGTTCAAGCGCACGTAGCTTTCGATAATTTTTGCCTCATATCTTTTGATGCAGTACCTTTATGATAATGGTATTTATTCTACTGCCACTGTCAATATAAATAGAACTGATTTACCGACATTCGTAAAAGCTAAAAAAGAATACAGTAAAATTTGAAAGAGGAAATTACAAATGGAGAGTGAAGAAAAAGAATGTTGGGTTCATGATTGTATATATGTAGCAATATAAATAGCAAGATAACAAAGCATCTTTTTCGTGGATTCAGAATGACTTTCAAATCAGATGAAAATAATAATAAATACTATAAATTAAGTACGGAAGTGTAGTGGCGGCATAAGAACCCAATCCCTTTTATCAATCCGTGGGTGCCTAAAATACGGGCTCAAACCATCTTCCTGCATGTTAAGACATACCAGGTCGACACTTCATCTAGTGGGGGACTGGCAGTCCTAGCCTTCATTTTTATATGAAACTGAAGTGAGAATCAATATTACAGTCCACTTGATGTTACGTAGCTAAAATAGACCATATAGTGGCAGTGGTCATGTTGACATTTTCAGGAGTGTACCTACTTACGAGTAAGGGTTGTGATCATGATAATGAAGTGTTGTAATTTCGCGATAGTCTTTCAGTTGCGGTTCCTTTCTTTTAGATTAAAAATGAGAAACAGAAGAAAGCCAGGGTCCAGACGTTATGAAAAAATTGGTTCCCCATGTAGGTTAAGCGAAGAAGACGAGGATAATATAGCAGAAGCTCTTATACTTTGCAGAGAATATGGCTTTCCATTGACTTGTTTTGAGCTGCGTATGATTGTTCACAACTATTTAACCAAAAATAATAAACTGTGGATTTTTAATAATAAACTACCTGGTGAACGGTGGGTTCGAGTTTTTAAATCGCCATAAAGAAAGATTGACATTAACCTCTACACAAAACATAAAGAGCTCACGTGCTTCCAAAACAATAACCGAATATGAGGAATATTTCGAAAATCTAAAGAAAAGTCGTGTCAATGTTAAAGCACATAACATAGTTAATTTCGACGAGACAAATTTAACTGACGACCCTAGATCGCAAAATTGTATTTTTAAAAGGGGGAAAAATATCCAAATAAGATTTGAAATAACTCTAAAACTGCAATATCAACCAACCATGTTTGCTGCCACGGCATCAGGCGATCTTTTTCCGCCGTACGTGGTATATAAATCTCTGCAATTTATGAACCAATTGGTGTGAAGGTGGGCCGCCTGGCACCAGATTCAATAAAGCAAAATCCGGATGGTTTGATGCAGATTTCTTTCAAGATTGGTTTGAAAATATAATTTTACCTTGGGCACAAAAAATGGAGAACCGAAGGTACTGATTGGAGATAACTTATACTCACATTTAAATGTACAAATAATATCTAAATGCCAGGAAAACAATATAAGATTTGTATTTCTACCTCCAAACTCAACACACGATACTCAACACCTTGACATGTCTTTTTTAGACCGTTAAAAAGAGCTTGGAAAAATATTCTTCTAGATTGGAAAGTAAGACATCCATCAGCAAGTGCACTAAACAAACAAATATTCCCAGAATTACTTCGTACATTAATTGATACAATAAAAATGAATGCAGATACAATAATTAGAAACGCCGGCGACAGGTATTCATCCCCTACAACCAGAAGCAATATTAAGAAAATTACCAGATTACAAAGAAAACAGGGAACCATAAACCTTTGACGAAATGCTCTTAAATTTTTTGAAGTACTCCACGTCACCGTCTGTCTACAACACTGCAAAACCACGCAATAAAAAAATTGTACAAAACCAGGGGAATCTGTTTCTACAGATGATTTCAGATTATATGCAAATAATTTATTGGATCCTAAACCATCGAATAATTTATCTGAGAAGGAAGAGAAAAAAGAAAAAGACATCGTGCATTAATCAGACATTGTGTATTTGCATTAATAAGACAAAGGCATATAATCAAATCAATTAAAATTATGATATGGGTACAGACTACAATGAGTATCGGAGAGAAATGGTTACTTTGCACCTTCCGTTCCGTCATGAAGAATCGGAAATTCTTGCAGAATCGCGATATCTTCAGTTATACGAAGAGAATGAAAGATTATTCTAGATCGAAGAAAAGAGTTCGAATAAATTCTTGACATCGAAAAAGCATTGGAAATCTGCAGGGAGTTATGATGTGAATATGTTTCCGATGATGGAGAGGAGATGGAACGACATCGTTGGTAGAATTCCTAATGAAAACCCATTTGCTGAATTATATCACAATCCAAACGCAGATTTAAATGATGATTTACGCGTTGCGTTGTTTGATAAGCTTGGATCAACTGCTAAAAAGAAAGATAATATCTTACCTTATCCAGAATTTTATGGGCTGATGCGCAAATCAAACGAGGAACAGCGAGAAATTTTGTTTCACATTATACATCATTTAATACCAAACAACGAGCCAATACAAAAACCATTGTTGATATATTTGACTGGGGCAGCTGGTAGTGGTAAAACGTTTGTAATAAAAGCACTCATGGAGATTTATAATAGATTTTCCGCCACGGATGGAATTTTCAACGCATACATTGCTTGTGCTTCAACCGGAAAAGCTGCTACAGCCATAGGTGGAACAACGGTGCATAATGCTTTAAGTATATCACTCTCAAGGCTATTGCCACTCACTATCGAAATAGCTTTTCAATACAGAGCGCTATTTGAGTTCATTAAGGTTATCATTGACGAAGTAAGCATGGTTTCAGCAGAATTATTGGAACAAATTAATGAACGTTTGAAGCAATTTACTGCCTTGTTTACAAAAGCTTTTGGTGGATTGGACGTGATCCTTATCGAAGATTTGCGCCAATTACCCCCTGTAAAAGCCACACCGATCTTCAAGCAAATAAAAAAAAAACTGGTGAATCAATTTGGCGAAAATTTCATCAATTCGAACTCAAGAAGGTAATGCGCCAAGAAAATAGACTCTTTTCTGCCATTTTAACAAAAATAGGTGATGGGTTCATTCTAACAGAAGAAGAATTAAATATGATAGAATCCAGATTTGTAACTAAAGAACACGCACAATCAGAATGTCCGGAAGGAACTAGACTTATGTTTACGAATAATAAGGTTAACGAATACAACAGTATAATTTTGAACAGTTTTGAAAATAATATTGTTTCATTGGCATCGGATGTTTTCGTTGGTTGTCATAGTGCAGAGCAAGAAAATTTTGTAAGGCAGAAGTTACATAAAATGAAACCTGACGAGACTGGTGGACTAACTAGTTCTAGTTCCTAACCGACCCTATATGATAACTATAAACATAGATGTCGCTGATGGTTTATCTAATTGCACTGTAGGAAAATTACTACTCATAGAATATGATAAATATGATGAAATCACAAGACTTTGGTTCAAATTCTCAAAATCCATTGGTCAAAAACGTGCAACAAAATTTAGAAGTGACATTACACGCTTGAAAATCGACAAAGACGCTGTTCCAATTTCTTTACAATTATCGTCAATACCACTCAACAAAAATAAAACTATAGTGGCAAAAAGAAAACATTTTCCACTGATTTCGGTTTTGGCAATGACAATTCAAAAATCCCAAGGAGGTACTTTCGATGCTATTGTTTATGAATACAATCGTTCTCATTTAAAAGAAATGGTGTACGTTGCGTTATCAAGAGTAACTAGTATAGAAGGTTTGTTCTTAGTCACTGAAGAAAACGCAAGGGCGAGCTGGAAATTTTATCATGACAGAGTAGGAAACGCACGGGTGGAAGATTCAAACGTAACAAAAAATCAAAAGAGATCAACAACTCATCGAGAAGATTTATCTATTGAATTGAAACGATTACATGAATATCCTTTGCAAACCATCACCAAAACACTTCTAGATTTTATTTCTAAGAATTATACATTGCCTATTTTTTCATTCAATTGTCAAAGTTCATTACGTGCGCATGTAGATGATCTAGCAATTGACGCTCTTGTTAAAAAGATGAATGTGTTAATTTTATCAGAAACTCATGTGGGTAACGATGAAATAGACATTCCGAATTTCAACTTTCTCGCGAGTTTCAGAAGAAATAATCATCCAGCGGGAGGAGTAGCTATTTATCAAAATATGAACACAGTTCACTATTGCACAAATTATATGGATGTATATGTGAAACACAACAGCATGATTAATGCTACTGTTTCTAATATCGGTGATATTTGTATAAGTCGTTGCCACTCTGGTGATAATCAGTTCATTATTATGGTTGCTGTTTACATCTCTCCAGATAAGTCATTGCGTGCTATACGAGACTTCTTGTAGGAAAATTTATTCATTTATTCTCATGACGCATCTACTTTGCTTCAAAAAAAATTGGAAAAAGCTTTGATGAATTGTCAATAATTTTGAGTTGAGATTTGAACATAAACTTTGCAGACGATAAAAATCAACTATTAATTGAATTTTTAAATAATGAATTTGTTCCCGGAGTGCAACCCGTCGTTTTTTTTATAAGATGGCAATTCCAGTTCACCATGAAGTTAGGAGAAAGTTAAAAAAAAAATACGTTCAAATATCAACCGCCCTACGGTGACAAATAAAAAATAAAATACGGTGAAAAAAAAAACGAAAGGGGTGATTAGAAAAAGTCTTACTAGTGTTGTCACATTGCTTAATCCCTATTGACAAAGAAGATACTTATACAGGTACTTTTATAAGATGCATAATTTACATAAATTTTTTTTTGTTATAGGTAGTTACAAAATGCAAATATTGAGTCCTGTAATATAGTTAATTACGACGAGACCAATCTAACCGACGATCCGGGTCGCAAGAAAATTCTAACAAAATGGGGAACAAAGTACCCTGAGAGAGTGATGAATCATTCAAAGGTATCAACTTCTGTGATGATGGCTGCTAGTTCAACCGGTGAATTGTTGCCACCATATGGAGTCTACAAGGCTCAAAAACTTTATGATACTTGGACCAAAAATGGGCCATCAGGAACACGATATAATCGGTCGGCAAGCGGATGGTTTGATGCAAATATTTTCGAGGATTGGATAAAATCAACCGCGTTGCCTTATTTTAGAGGTAAAGAGGGGAAGAAGTGCCTCATAGGTGATAATCTATCCTCGCATCTGTCATTAGATGTAATTAAATTGTGTCATGAAGAGAACATTACGTTTGTTTTTTTTTACCAGCAAACAGTACGTATCTGACACAACCATTAGATGTGGCCTTTTTCAGTCCGATGAAGATTGCGTGGCGCAACATTCTTTTAAAATGGAAGAAAAGCGATGGAAAAACACAAGCATCGGTTCCAAAAGGATGCTTTCCAAAGCTTTTGAAAAAACTTATTATTGATCTCAACCGAAATGCCAAAGATAATTTTGGCATTTACAGAAAAACAGGCATATGGCCCATTAATGAAAATCAGGTTTTGGGTAGATTATCTGAAAAAAATAATAACGAAAACAAAGAACATGCTGTGGAAAATTTTATCATTGATATTATTAAAAAAATGAGATATGGTACTATGAATGTAACTGAATCAAAAAGAAAAAGAAAATTAGATGTAATTCCAGGAAGAAGTGTTGGCACTGAAACTGAAGAGTACGTATGGACACAGAGGAGAATTTAGAAAATACCCGTAAAATAAAAACTGCTGAAACCACTACAATAACATGCATAAAGACAAAGAAAGGCAAGAAGAGGAAACAAAATACTTAAAAAACCAGACCAAGACGTAAATGGAACCGAAGAGGATAAAATAGAAGTTGCAGATACAGAAACAATATATAGAATAGAAGTTGCAGATATAGAAACGATGCCCGTAATGTTTGAAGACATTACATTATTCGGGGAAGACGTGAGATTCCGCGAGACGACAATTCACAACAATTTGACGATTTATATTTCAACGGGAACTTAGAATTGATAGACGATACCATACATGAAGAGCCTCCGTCTAAACCTAAATCTTTATGTACTGAAGATAGGAGAGATAAAATAAAAATTATCGCCAACGAAATATTATCGCAGGAGTATTTTATTACCATGAAAAATAAAATACCATTACCGTTGAAACCTGTTTCTAAAAGTACTCCTTTAAACATTTTAAAAACTAAAATGACCGACCAAGCACAAGTGGTTTGAAAGTGAAAACGAAGTCGCGGAAACCATCTTATAACAAAAACGAGTCAGAAATTCTTAAGGATTTAATAAATGAATCGAGTGTAGAGATCCCGGAGAACCTTTTTTTACTATATAAAAACGTGGCATTCCATCTAAGTCCTCAGGGGTGACCACGCTTCTGCGTTTTGATTCTTAATCGAAGATAAATGTAGGCGTTTATGGGCCACAGCACAGGACTAATTACATAAAAGGGCTCTTCTTGTCTAATTATTTATAAACATCCATTGAATTTTTCAGTTTGGATGTCGGACACTTACTGTAATGCATCTCTTTATATAACTAAATTGGCAATAAATATTGTTACGAGCTTAGGGTTCGTGACAATAAAAACTGCCGATTGAATTACCAAAATTTACACTTTCATTACCGAACACCAATTAAAACTTAAAACACTAATAATTAACCACACTGATTCACTTTATTTCGCTCCGAAGCTTCGCTTGTCTCGCCAAATTCAATACTGCCCTGATCACGGCATGCAACGGGTTTAAAACACTTTTACACCGAAACATCCAGAATATTCCCGTAGATACGGGCGCCGACCGACCAGACGCAGAAAGTTCGAGTGTGGGGATTCTAGAAAGCTTAATTCTTGTTCGATACTAGATGGCGCTGTTGGTCGAAAGTCAAGATTGACATTTTCTAGGAAGCCCTCCTCGCTCTTTTCCCCCGACACTAGATGGCGCTAGTGCCAGGTACCTGACGTCAACTTAGGCGCGCAATAATATGATTACTACATACTTATTACTTATAATTCTCATGTGCAATTAAAAGGCTGATTAGAATTTCTGTCTTAAAACACATTATATATTTTAAGCGCCTTCAAAAATCTATTAATCTACCTACATATAGCATAATTACTTTGAACGTTATGTAATAATTTAATTGTTTAAAATGACAACCCTACATAATTTTTCTGTTAACCCCATACATCGTATCTAATGACCCCGACTCCTTGGTAAATAGAGATTGCTAATATTTATGCGTATTTCGTTCAAAATATATATTAAAAATAGCTTTTGAACATTATAAAATTTAAAACCAACCTTGACTCATAATATAATTGCATTAAATACAAAGAAACCAATCGAAAACAATATGAATATCAATTTCAAAGTTCCAAATTGTGTCTATTCACCCCGTTTTACGGTAACAACGTAACAAGTACACTTCTGTTGCAAACTAGCCTAAGCTTAGTATACAGCCATATAAAGTTAAAAATGTTAATGTTGTTAAATATTTTGCGAGATATATGCACGTTAATATAAAACTACGGCAGAGTTGCAGCATCTTACGGTATCTAATAATTTTTAACTGTTTGTTTTTCGGCTTCACGTGCAAAAAGCTTTTCCAAACTAAAGTTGATAAAATCTTACTAAAGGTCCACAATGGGCCAAGCGCGACTAAACAAACTTTCCATTTTGTCTATCGGGATAGACAGGAAAGTAAATTTTATTTTACAAAATAAAGTCCCGTAAGCATGTTTAGTATTTTTTGTTTTATTTTGGGGGGTGCTTGATAGGAAATCGGTCTGGGTGCCAACCCACGCTACGCCGCCAATGTCTTGATGTACTTAGTCTCCAATGACAAAGTTCAGATCAAATCATAATGACATAAAACTTTCAGTTATTATTTTACCAAGTGTATATCACGTGCTCAGACTAACAAAGAAAGATATATGAAATACTGCGACATATCAAGTGATGTGTCGCTCGTCAGTAGCCGCCATACAATTTGACTAGATGTTGTATATGAGGTTACCGTATACGCGTACGCGTTTTGCTTCAATCGTACGCCAAGCAAGCCGACGTTGTCTCTGAATGTTACTAAATGCCACAAAATTATACATATTATTGAATATATTATTTATATAATTAAAATCTGTCGAAATAGTTGGGGTTCAATGGAAAATGCGTGAATTGAAATTGGAATAAATTATGTTGATGATATTAAACAGAATACATTATTTATTGCTAAGTCGACTGACATACACGTATAGCTACACAGGAAAGAGCGATCGTAGAATAGTCTTATTTGGAACAGTGTGCCTAAATCAGCGACAGATCACACCAGTAGCCAGTAGGTTGTATACATTCAAGTGTGTAGTTTCAAAGCCCCGAGTGATTTTATATATGTATTTTTTCCATTTTATAATTGTACACAACATAATTTTGATACTAAAGCAAAAAATCGCAATGTAATACAAAACAAAATTCAAATCAATACAATAAAATCAATCAAGCAATTGTTTAAATTTCTCATACAAAACTTATTTATTTAAAATTCACAGCAGCAGTGCGGAATGTACGATTATGAATACAAATATATATCTACAAATTTAAAGCTTTCAAAACATTTTCATTTAGTCATGGAAAACTTAAGACTATTTTTTTAATATTAAGTGACACGAAATTGACCTCGACATTATGAAGTCTTACTAGCCGTTCTAGCTAATCAGTTAATTAAAAAATAAGGTATGAGTAGATAACATCAGGATTGTCGAATGAAGAAAGTAAAGTTATCTACGCCTAATGTGGCAGCCGACGCTTTTTTTTAATTTTTAAGTATGTAAGATCGTAAACAAAGCGAACAAAATGAACGGCATTATTAAGGTAAAATCTAAATACAATAGTTACATAACATAATACCGCGCGAGTTTGAACGAATTCGATGATTTTCTAGTTCTTTCAACAGAGGCATGCGTTCACTACCGTGTCGCTAACAACATTCAGACGGGCGTGCCGAAGTCTGGATCTCCGCAACCGGGCAACAAGCGGGCGGGCATTTTGCCGCGTTCGACCGCTCCGTTGGTCATCACAGCATTTTCTGTCACGCGCCGCGCTGAACCTATTCTGTACATAAAATCCAATTAAATTAGTTTTTTTTTAACCAACACTTTATCTAATAGATAAGCTTTAATTTTGTTTTAGTAATAAATGTAAGGTTTCCGTTTGCGTTGCCAAGAGAATCTTTTTCTTAATCTAATCATGTAAGTACCTGGATGTCGTGAACAAAAACTATACGATTAAGTAAAACACAAGGACACCTGTGACTGTATGCTATCTAAGATGTTCACACCATTACGTTTTGTACGTAAAAGTTCTGTAGTAAAGTTTTGGGGGTGTGTTTACGGGCTCATGTAATGAAACCATTTACCTTTTTTCGTTCACAATTATTGTTCATAATTTAACATGCAGCGTCAAAGGTATGTGCTAGTTGTATATTACTGTGATTGTTAAACAGTCTACCGAGAGTGACAAATAAGACAAATACAGCCTACAACGGGAGAAGACCGACTCCAGCAGTAGTATTTTTCAGGTGAAGAAAAAGATTCATTATAAATGTTTTCGAATTGCCTTCTCTCATTAGAAGATGTACCTAATGAACTTCAATATATATTGAATAAAACTAAATTTACGGATTTTATCGCGTTTATTTCACTACTTTTACTTATTTTTAATTCCCGACGTTTCGGGTGCTTTACAGCAACCATGGTCACGGGGGGGACTGAGATGTTTGACGTCCCAATGTCATAGTTAGTCCGGCTACCTTCAGTTTTTGAATATTAATTTTTGGTCCGATTTACGCAAATTTAAAAAAAAATTAATATTCAAAAACTGAAGGTAGCCGGACTAACTATGACATTGGGACGTCAAACATCTCAGTCCCCCCCGTGACCATGGTTGCTTTTTTATTTTTAGTTGTAAATAAACAGACGCTGCGGCAATCTCCTGGTTTGTTTACTCTGTCGCCTCTTACGATACCTACGGGATGATATAGCGTAGTGGGGTTTTAGCAGCCACACAGAGATGAGCAGCAGCATCTTTCTGATTACACTTCAAAATAATAAGAAACTCCCTACGAGACATAGTATTTTTTATAGAATAAGGGTGACAAACGAGCACAGAGTCCACCTGATGGTAAATAGATGCTGTGGCCCATAGACGCCTACATTTATCTTCGATTAAGAATCAAAACGCAGATGCGTTGTCACCCCTGAGGACTTAGATGGAATGCCACGTTTTATATAGTAAAAAAAGGTTCTCCGGGATCTCTACACTCATCGTACGAAAAACATCAATATTAAGCTGTTATTTTACGTTGATATCCTATGAGAGCGTGGTCAATCCCCAGTCGAGCCGACAGTCGTGCTACAACCGTAATATAGCTGCAGCGTGTCTCTACCACGTATATCTTGGGCTGTAACGATGATAATGATGATATTTGGTGTTGAAGCATATAACAGCATCTGATATAATGCTTGGCGGTCCATATAATTCTAAAAAAAAAAGGATTTCGCGGTCTTGTTTCTTATGAAATTTAAAAAATTGTTTTTTTTTATAATTCAGTATAAGTCAATATTACCGAAATCCTTTAGATTCCCTCCGCGGCTTCGCTTCGCCATTTGTTTTAGGGGGTTTGACTTCTATGTCTACTAGCAGCGGGACTGGTTGCTCCTGCTGCGGCGATTTCGGCGATGGAGGCGACTGTGGAGATAGTGGAGATAGCGGCGATGGCGGTGACTGCACCGGAACAGGTACTGATTCCGATATTAGAGACGGATACGAGTTCTGAACGGCATCTGTGGAATAATAGGTTGGTTAAAACCCTTTACAAAGTCTAGATAAAACTATATTTTTTTATTTGTTTCCAGTAAAAAGGGTCTCCGGTTCTCTACACTCACCATACGAAACACAGCAGCATTAAGCTACTATTTTACGCTGGCATTCTGTGAGAGCGTGGTCCTTCCCCGGTCGAGATATAACTGCAGCATGGCTCTACCACTTATGCTTGCTAAAAATATTACACCACTCCTTTGAGTTTTGCCGTGCGTCGGGTACAAATAGGAATAAGCAACTCAGACCAGGCCAGACCAGTATTATTTCGATTTTGGACGCAGTATATCATATCGAAGGATATCACGTCACCCTTATTTACAGATATACTTAGGTCATAAGTTCTGTCAAAAACTTATATGAAATTAATACACTTTTTGATAATTACATAGAAAATATACATGAAATGAAAGGTAATTTAATTTAGAATACAATTTTATTCTAATTATTCAAAATACCATCTCCTATTTTGAATTCATGCCCTTAATGGACGCGGACAATCATCAATCGCAGCACGCACCACAATCATATCTATTACTGCCGCTGCTTTAGCGAAAGATGCTCGGAGAGATTCCAAATTCTGACGAGGTTTAGCACAGACTTTCTCCTCCAAATGTTGTCATATCTTATAATCCAGTGGGCTTAAATCTGGACTAGAAGAGGGCCAGTCTTCATGTCCGATAAAGTCAATTCCATGGACGGTCAACCAGTTTTGCGTGCTTCGTGCCCTATGAGCTGGTGCAGAGTCCTGATGGAATATCCAAAGTCTGTTTTTGAACATTGTTTGAAAGAGGTCCCACAATGTTTGTTTGGACGGTATTTTAGTACATACCTCGGCATTGGTTTTTACACCTTTATCATGGGTGACGAAGGATATTGTACTCGTTGAACGATCGGAATACGCGTGCTATCTTCTTCACTGCTGTGGGCATACACCTTATCATTTTGTTTGTTATAACTTTGTTCGATATAAAAAAAATATCCGAAAACAAAACTTGGCGGTATTTTTTCCCGCGTACCGCCGTAACAAAGCGCGCAAATCTATTCAGCCTATTTTTTTCATACGCTCGTTTAAAAAACTGTCCGGTCTTCTTACGATAAACTCTTAGTCCTAGGTCTTCATTGATCACTTTTTCGACCGTGGTTCTACTTAGGTCCATGTGAAGAGCTAAGATTTTTTGTTTACGAACAGGATTTCGTTGGATTCGCACCTTCACTGCTTTGATGATCGCGGGTGTCCTAACCGTACGAAGTCGGCCGGTCCTCTTACGATCTTCGAAGCTTGAATTTTCGGTATCATAGTGCGATAAACAAATCGTAGGGTTAATTTCAATTTTTGTAGAATATTGAAAATCTCTTTTGGCGCGTTAACCATGACAGGGGTGTAACGCGATAACCGCTACTCTATCTTCTATCTTCAACGACTCCATATTTGAAAATGAATGAAAATTAATGTTCTTTTTTTATTTTCGGGAAGCGCAAACGTTATTTTTTTAATTGGTGAAGTTCATGTAGCCAGTATTTAATTTTTTTTTAAATAATAAGGTTTTGACAGAACTTATGACCCGACTAAGTATACGGAGGATTTATACCACAGATGTCACGCTTAGCAGGCGGGTCAATAACCGCGGTTTTTTATTATTTTAATTTGTTAACAAGAATTTCATGTTTTCACTGCCCATTTCATGTTACAGTCTTCCCTCTGTCGCCTCTCAAGACTTCTACGGTACGTTATAAGGTAATGGATATTCTTACACCGCCACTCCACGGTACAATGGTAAAATCCTCTTTATGAAGCAATCGTGGGGGGGCGCCTATGTTCAGCAGTGGACTTTTATAGGGTGTAATGGTAATTCATATGTAAACAAAGTTTAATTTATTAAAGTATTCATACCGATATCATGGTTTGTTGGAACGAGAGGTGCTGCTAATGTGGGAGGGAGCTGTACTGCCGCGGGAAGCGCTGGTTGAGCGGACTGAGTGGGCTGAGCAGGCTGACGAAGCTGAGCAGGCTGAGCGAGCTGAGCGGGCTGAGCAGGCTGCGCAGGCTGAGTGGGCTGAATGGGCTGTGTAGACTGTTCAGGTGACTCGACAGCTGCGAGCGGCTCGTCCGACGAGTGCGCCTCTCCCGACACTGCAAGATACGCGCCCTTCGTCCGCCAGTCCTGCACAAAAATACGGTCTTATTTAATCCAAAATGAAAATAATTATCTACTTTATAGTTTTCTCCATTTATATAGTATTTTTATAAAACATTGGTTCAGTAACACTTGTGAGAGCTAAAGAATTAATTATAATTACATAATGGCTCTCCATACTATTAGTACAGTTTAATGAGAGTTAGTTAGTTTTTAATATTACCGATTTGTCCATATTCAAGGAGAAGACGGCAAAGAATATTTTAAGGTGTACTTGAATATAGGCCATATTTTGACGAATGTTAGTTTTTTTTTCAGCTATCGTATTATTTTTAAGCTTTCTTTAAGTAGTTTTAAATACTTATTCTCTCTTAACTTAACTCAACTATTTAACTAAATTCCGGCCTAAACCGATAGCCTAGGCTAACTTTGAATACGCGCCCCGACCGGCCTGTTCAGTCTGTGCCTACACAGCCCACTAATATATTTTTTAGATTTTTGTATTTTACTAGCTTTCCACCCCGCGAATTCGCCCGCATTAAAATAAATTTTCGTTCGTAGTAGTAAGTGTCGACCACCGCCTATGAATAACTGCAACACCAGGAAAATTGCAGTTGCGTTGCCGTTCTTTTAAAAAACACTATGCTCATTTCTTGAAGGTTTTTAATTCTCCTTTTTTTTTCTGCTTACTTCTAACGGTCCGGAAAAATCGCCGGTGGTAAAGAATTCCGTCAAGAAGTTCTACGTCAAAGAAAACGCCTAGTATATCGCATAGTCATGGCGGACCGCCGTATACGTGGGTAGAGCTACGCTGCAGCTATATTATGGCTGTAGCTTGAATGGGTCGGCTCGACGAAGGTACCCACGCTCTCACAGAATACTAGCGTAAAACAGTAGTTTGATGCTGCTGTGTTCCGTATGGTGAGTGTAGAGAACCTGAGATCCTTTTTACTGGAAACGAGGAATTCTATCTTAGTCCTCAGAGTGACAATACATCTGCATTTTGATTCTTAATCGAGGATAAATGTTAGATGATGAGAGGATGAAGTCTATGGGCCACAGCACCCACTTAACATCAGGCTGGATTTACAACAGGATGCTGGCTAAGTCTGTATGATTAGTGCCCTGAAATTGCGGATATACGATATGGGTATGTTTAGTGGTAAACGCGCAAACTTGTGTCTTCTGAAGTATAAGATGGATTAGAGTCGTCTAAATCCGATCAGAGATTTTGTTTATTAAAGACTCGACTTCGGTCCAAACATAAAGAAAGAGTAACAAGTGAATAGCTTGCGGCACTTACTCTATTATTTATAAATAATAGAGTTAAGTGCTGCAAGCTATTCAAAGTCAAATCCCGAGCGGTCGCATGTGACCGCACCCAACCATAGCACTTAAAATCATTAAAGCTTATATTTAGAGGCTATTTTTCTATGAAGCAGTTTGGCATTATAAAATCTATACAAAATTCTCCTCATTACAAAGAGATTTTATTGTATTTTGATAACAAAAAAAAAACATACCAAGCGGATGCCGGCAGCGTGAAAATCACAAATATTTCTATATATTGCTCAAAACTACTTACGTAAAAAGGTAAATTATATTCACTTAAAAAAATTATAACAATTTTATAATAAAACACTATAGTAAAACACTAATAAAACACTAGACAAATCCAAAAAAAAAATCAACGTAATAACATCCAAATGAAAATGGCGTACGTAACGAACGTAGAATATAAATTAATATCCATAGAATAACTGTTTTTTATTCCACTAGAGTTTAGAAAATTTCTTATTGATTCTATAATGCCAAACTTCTTCATAGAAAAGTAGTCTCTAAACATAAGTATTTATGGGTTAAAGAGCTGTGGGTGGGTGCGGTCAAATTTGACCTCTTGAATATTGACGGAATATCGAAGCGGTCAAATTTGGACGCCTGGCGTTTGAGAGGTTAATTTATTTGCAACACAGGGAAACTGAGGCAGGAGATGGGCAGCAGCATCTAAAAATTGCGGTTGCCAACCCGATCGCCAAGCGTGGCAACGTTTGCAATATACCCCCAATGGCTTCTTTGCTACGATGGCAACCATCGTAACAAGGGGTGATAAGAATCTCTGGTGGAGATTCGGTTGCCACCTAAGATGTCTCGACTTGGCAACATATACCTAATGCACTGATTGACGGTGAGCTGAAGTTAGGGAAGTTCAGGATAGGGCAACAAAACTCAAAGGGTCAGGAACCAGCCGACTTCAAGGAGAAGAGGTACTCTTTATGATGAACTCTTTCTTTCAGAAGTGACCCCACAGAAAGTGCACTTGGTCGAGCCCCGATGGTTCGATATAAATGAGATTGACTTCATTATGACGACTAGACGGTATCTGTTTGGTGATGTCTCAGTGATCGTAAGTGTGAAAACTGGCAGCGATAATCGACTGGTGATAGGCACATTGTAGCTAAAAGTTTAGTTGGAGAGGTCACGTCGAATGAAGTCAACGTTCCGTCTCTCTCGTGCTCGAATCCAAAGCCTCAAAACATTTAGCTCAAGTTACAAAATTGTTTTCAGTGCCTTAGAAGACTGCAATACAGTGGACGATATGTATAACAAGCTCGTGGAAACTGTCCATGCGGTCGGAGCTAAGTTCTGCAAAATCGATCGCAGAAGAACCCAAAAACTCTTCAATCACACTCTGAATGACATGGCTGTGAGACGGGAAATAAAGCTGCAGTCTTCAGCAGATTTGACAGCATACAGGCAAGTGAACAGACAGGTTCGCCGCTCACTTAGCGGTCAGCCGCCGTAGAGTCTACATCACCTGAGGATGCCTCATGTAGAGGCGAAACACGTGTCGTATTATCGTCGATGGTGTGTCTTTCCTGGAATATTGGTGTCGGGAGTAGTGGTGCCGGGAGTAGTGGTGTTGAGATTAGTGGTGACGGGATTGGTGCACGTAATTGAGGGAGGGCGGGAGGTGCTCTTCAATTCAGATAAGACACATCATTGTATTTAGTTAACGGAAGGTTGCAAATTAATTAATATCTTTATTATAATGGATTACCGAAAAGTAACGCCTGATTCTATCAATTAGACTTAAATACATAACTGTCGTCACTGGCGTCTATTTTTTATTATTTTATACAATTGTACAAGGTGACAAACATGCACACAGTGTATCCGATGGCAATGAATGCTGTGGCCCAAAGACACTTAGATTTATCCTCGATTAACCATCAAAATGCAGAGGATTAAAACGGAATGTCTTGTTACTAGTTAAAGGGTGTTCGGTTTTCTACTTACCATACTAAACACAGCACATTGAGTTAGCATTCCGATAGAGCGTGGTCCCCCTGCGGTCTGGTCGACCCATTCGTGCTGCAGCCATAAAATAGCTAGATCGTGGCTCTACCATATACTACTGAGTACCTGTGGTTTGCGTCTCTTCTTGAGTGAAGGGCGACGCGTGTGAACGGGTGTGGAGAGCGGTGAGGCGGGGGGAGATGGACGACGCCGCCGTGGAGGCGTGCGGGGTGCGGGCGGAGCGCGGGGCGCGCGGTGCGCGTGCGCGCGGAGAGCCCGGCGGGGACGCGGCGGGCGACGTGCCGCCGGACTTGTCCGCCACGGCCTCGTACGGACCGCGCCGTCGCTCACCGCAAGTTTCAGACTCCAGCCGTACCATCTGCAATCGTCGATATTATATACTCGTAAATTCAGGCCTTCAAAGGAGTTCACTTTCGACTACTTCAAGTAACAGTATAGGTGCATAAGTAACAATGATATAAGAATTCAGAAATTTGAAGGCATGTAACTTGGCTCCTAATTATCGAAAAAAAATTGTTGTGCTATTTGCGACGAGTTTTCTTCTGATACAGACTGTCTCATTGGCCAAGTGGTCGTAAAACGGAATGTGGATCATGAGGTCTCGAATTCGTAGACTCAGTCGAGCCAAAATCAGTTATCTTTTTCTGTCAAGAAATTCTAAGCAGCCCAGAATCGGGAAATTGACGTTGTGGGTCTTGGAAAGCACGTAAAGCCATTGGTTCTGAGTCTGATCTTTCTCTGTTTCTTGTCGAATTACCACCCAATCGGACTTTCAGCGTAAATGAATAGAGAGTGCATGCGATTACGCATACGCTCGGGCATTACAACCTTGCAAATGGCTAGTCTTCCTTGAGACTGGCCGCCACGAGGACATTTGTAACAGTAAGCAGCAACATGCGAGCGAGAACTTGTGTTTTCGATCGTCCGATTACTAAAACTGACAAATGCTACTAAATTGACGCAAAATTTCGTAAAAAAATTAAGTCTCTAATCACAACACGATTCAGCCAATTCGAGTACTTACCTCTAGCCGCGCCTCGATCTTGATGGAGTCATCGTCCATGTCGAGTATTGAGAGGTTGTTGTTGATGTTGTTGTAGTCGGGGTAGAGCGGCGCGGGCCGGCGCCGCGGAGACTCGCACTCGCTCTCCGAGCCCGCCACCGACGCGGCCCTGCACATTGTTTCAAAATGGTGTAAAATACCACGTAGTGTGGAGCCAGCATTAGAAAAAACATAACACTTTAAGTCATAACAGAAAAATAAGTCTCACACCTGCACATTGCCTAATAATAGCGTAAAATATCGCATAGTGTTGCCAGCATAAGTAAAACCATAACCCCCGTGGGTGTCTTGAAAGGGGCTCTAATTGTCTTAAAAATTAGATAAATCCAGGAGGTATTCTTATGGTATTACTATTTTCTACTTACTAGACAAAAAAGGAAGAATGGTAGATTTACCAACATGTTCACCAAATTTCAATCTCACCTGTTAAAAGTTAAAATTACAGCTTATATACGTCCCACTGCTGGGCACAAGCCTCCCCTTATTTCTGAGAGGGTTTTAGGGCAAGAAAGTGTCCGCCGCGCTGCCCCAATGCGTGTTGGCGAACTTCACATGTCTTCGAAATATTTTTTTTCTTATTCCTCAGACATGCAGGTTTCCTCACAATGTTTTCCTTCACCGCCGAGCACGTGGTAAATCAGCACTTAAAATTGCAATTAACAATTTCATTGGTGCCGGCGGGGATCGAACCCGGTTTGCTAGCGTACTGTGAAATTTACAGCGAGCGCTAACCATCTGAGCTACCACGGCTCACCTGTTGATGATTCGTATCTATCCTACCCGGGTGTACCCCGGGTGAACTGGAACACTCCTTTGTGCCTCGGGCTGGAATTTGCGTTTACGTCAGAGAGGACATCTGTTCTCGACGCCTCGGCAGACTTGAAGGTTCGGACCTGTCCATCCTTCGGCTACGCGTAGACAGCGACGACCATCCGCGCAGTCTACGGGTGCCTTTATAGGTCCCATAGCGGTAATACCGAAACAGACCGACTCTTCGACCACGTCCAAATGGCTGCAGATTCGTTGCTACAGCAGATGCCCTCCGCAGAGATCGTGATCCTCGGCGACTTTAATGCCCATCACGCCGAATGGCTTGGTTCATGTTTAACCGATCATGCGGGGAGATCTGTTCATGATTTTGCCTTGGCATATGGTCTGACACAACTGGTTACTTCGCCTACGCGGATTCCAGATGTGGAGGATCATGCACCTTCCCTGTTGGACCTTCTGCTGACCTCTCACCCGGACGGATATCAGATTTCCGTCGACGCCCCTTTAGGCTCCTCGGACCATTGTCTTGTCCGGAGTGTGGTGCCACTCACGCTGAAATCGCGGTTGCATTCTGCAGGCTGCCGCCGTGTTTGGCACTATAGGTCAGGAGATTGGGATGGGATGCGGTCTTTCTTTGCATCCTACCCTTGGGGGTGGGTTTGCTTCTCGCCGGACGATCCCAACGTTGTTGCGGATTCTGTCGCTGATGTGGTACTTCAGGGTATGGAACTTTTTATTCCTTCCTCTGTGTTACCCATTAGAGGCAAATCTCAGCCATGGTTTGGTCGCTCCTGTAAAATAGCATCATGCTATAAGCAGGAGTGCTACCAGGCCTGGGCTGACGCATCAGCGTCCCGGGATGTAAATACCAGCGCTCTAAAAAAGAAGTATAATTCCGCCTCTAGGTCCTTCAAAAGAGTCATTGCCAAGGCAAAGTCAGAGCACATAGGCAGAATTGGCGAGAAACTAGTTCGCCTTCCTTCTGGAACCCGTGCATTCTGGTCTCTCGCCAAGGCTGTCCAGGGCAATTTCTGTCAGCCATCTCTTCCATCTCTGCACAGGGAGGACGACTCACTGGCCCATACCGCAAAGGAGAAAGCCGATCTTCTAGGCTCTTTCTTTGCGTCTAACTCGACTCTCGATGACGGGGGAGTACGCCGCCGACCATCCCGTGGTGTGAGTGCTCCATGCCGGAAGTGCAGTTCACACAGCGCTCGGTTCGCAAAGCACTCCTCTCCCTGGACATCCACAAGTCGAGTGGGCCTGACGGAATCCCCCCAATTGTGCTGAGGACGGGTGCTCCAAAATTGGCAGCGGCTTTAACGCGTCTTTTCCGGTACTCCTACTCCCTAGGCGTAGTTCCAAAATCGTGGAAGACGGCTTTCATCCATCCGATCCCTAAAAAAGGCGACCACTCAGACCCGTCCAACTACCGGCCTATCGCCGTCACCTCCTTGTTCTCCAAAACAATGGAGTCCATTGTAAACTGTCAGCTCATGAGGTACCTTGAGGATCACCAGCTGATTAGTGACCGCCAATACGGTTTTCGCCGTGGTCGGTCAGCTGGTGATCTTCTGGTCTACCTAACTCACAGATGGGCGGAGGCAGTAGAGTCCAAGGGAGAGGCATTGGCCGTTAGTTTGGACATTGCGAAGGCCTTCGATCGGGTTTGGCACAAAGCGCTCTTTCGAAGCTCCCTTCCTATGGGCTTCCCGAGAAATTGTGCGATTGGATCACCAGCTTTCTTGCAGATCGGAGCATCAAGGTCGTTGTTGACGGTGCAAGCTCCGATTGCAAGCTTATTAATGCTGGTGTTCCACAGGGCTGCGTGCTATCGCCAACGCTGTTTCTTCTGCATATCAATGATATGTTGCAAATCCGTAACATTCATTGCTATGCAGATGACAACACTGGTGATGCACTTTACACCGATCGAGCCAATATTTCCCGGGAAAACGTCTCCGAGTGCCGGAATAAACTTGTGTCTGAAGTCGAGTCTTTGCTGAACAGAGTCTCGGATTGGGGGCGACTAAATCTAGTCCAGTTTAACCCCCAGAAGACACAAGTTTGCGCGTTAACCGCTAAAAAGAACCCCTTTGTCGTATCCCCTCAGTTTCAAGGCACTCCCCCTTGTTGCCTCAGCCAGTATTGGAATCCTGGGCGTCGACATATCGAGTGACGTGCAGTTTCGTGGTCACTTGGAAGGGAAGGCCAAATTGGCCTCTAAAAAAGCTTGGCGTGCTCAGCAGAGCGGGACAGTATTTCATGCCGGCACACCACCTGCAACTTTACAAGGCGCAGGTTCGGCCGCACATGGAATACTTCCCATCTCTGGGCTGGGGCTCCCCAGTACCAGCTCCTTCCACTTGACCGCATCCAGCGCAGAGCGGCTCGAATCGTCGACGACCGAGTGCTTTCCGATTGGCTCGATTCACTGGCATTGCGAAGAGATGTTGCATCTCTTTGCATTTTCTTTCGCATATACCATGGAGATGCGGATTTAGACCTGGAAGAGGATGCACGGATCAAATGTTTTCTCTCCGCATGATCACGGAAAAGCTTCTGAGTGTTAACCAGAGGATTTTCTGTGCTTTTTGTAGATCTGGAGAAAGCATTTGATAAGGTTATAAGGAAGAAAATGTGGGAACTGTTGCCGGGATATGGTGTGGATGGTCGATTGCTAAGGGCTGTGCAGTCACTTTACTATGACTGTAAAGCCTGTGTGCGGGTAGGGCATGACCTGTCACCCATGTTTAGCGTTCAAGCGGGCGTAAAACAGGGTTGTGTCATGTCTTCCTGGCTGTTCATACTGTATCTCGACAGCTGTTTACAGAAGCTGAAAAATAGCTGTTTGGGTGTGAAATTAGGTGACATAAAAGTAAATTGTCTGCTGTATGCTGATGATACAGTGCTTATTGCACCATCAGAAGCAGAACTGCAGGCATTAGTCACGTGTATGAAAGAGGAATGTGAAATTAAAGGTCTCCGTTTGAATGCTAATAAAACTAAGGTTCTGGTATTTGAAAAGGACGAAGAGAGAACGAAATGTGAAATATGGGTAAATCAGGAACGTCTAGAACAAGTAAATGAAATTGTATACTTGGGGAGTGCTTTCAGCCGGGATGGAAGATGTGATTTAGATGTGGATAGGCGCGTCGCTGCCGGAAACAAAGTCAATGGTGCCCTGAATGCATTAGTCAAAAGGCAAGGCGTGGTGAAGAGTGCACGCCTTGCAATACATAACGCAGTGTTGGTACCGACTTTGTTATATGGCAGCGAAACCTGGGTATGCCAGAAGAAGCATAAAAGCAAGTTGAATGCAGTGGAGATGCGATCGCTTCGTAAAATGTGTGGCGTTACCATAGCCGATCGAAAGCGAAACGAAGAGATTCGCAATATGGCAGGATTGAAAGATGACCTTATCACAAAAATTGATAGGGGCGTACTCCAATGGTTTGGGCACGTTGAGCGAATGAGTGAAGACCGAATGGTGAAGAAAATATATAGAGCGAAAGTAAATATTAAAAGGTGTCGAGGTAGACCGAGACTAACTTTCGAAGACCATGTGAGCAAATTGCTCGAAGAGGGGAAGGTCAAGAGTACTCGGATACCTAGATGTGAGAAGCGAAAGAGGTATGCAAGGATCGTGACACTTGGCGATCTGTTCTCTCTGGCTACCTCGTTAGGGATTGTGCGTGAAGATAAGTAAGTAAGTAATCTCAGCCGCCAAATTTCGTGAACGCACTACGCGACAAACGTGCCGATAGCATCCACACCATCTGGATGCTTGGCGGTTCCCCACTGTATGTTTTAAAAGGAGTTTTCTTCCGCGTACAACCTTTCTGTGGAATAGTTTACCACCGGCGATTTTTCCGGACCGGTACGACCTGGGGACCTTCAAGAAAAAAGCTTACTCCTTTCTAAAGGGCCGGCAACGCATCTGCAATTCCTCTGGTGTTGCGGTTGATCATGGGCGGCGGTAATCACTTAACATCAGGTGAGCCGCATGCTCGTTTGCGGTCTTGCTCTTCTATAAAAAAAGAACAACATCTTAAGTTGAATGATCTAACATTGAATTTAAAAAAAAATGTTTCTTTTAGCAAAATGAAGATGTAATAGTACCTGTTATTGTAGTCAGGAGTGCGCGGCGCGGTGGGCGTGGCTCCAGAGCCATCTAGCTCTTCGCCGAACACCTCGCCGTCTTCCGGGTACAAGGGAAATCTGTTAACATACATAGAGTATTGATACTGCATCTCTATATTCAGTCTAAATAAATACAGATAAAGGACAGATTTTCCTTAATCGAGATCTACACTCATCATACGAAACAAGCAGTCGAGCCGACCTATTCGTGCTACAACTAATATAGCCGCAGCGTGGCTCTACCACGTATAGCTCTTTCTTTTAGTTGCTCCAATCATAATAGTGTCCTTTATAATATTTCTCTCCAGCTCTGTGATGCACGTCATGTTTCGGGGAAGGAAGCCATCATCTATATGACTGAAGTATAAAATATTTCAAACATGTGAAGTCTGCCAACATGCATTAGAGCAACGCGGCAGACTAATTGTTCTATAACCGTCTCAGAAATAGTTGGGGACCTGCGACAGGAAAGGTAGATTCGGCTGTTAAGCAAGGTTTAGACGAAGCCAGTAACGCTGGCGCCAGTCCTCAGACAAGCCAACGCTGGCCTGGTCCATGTTGTTTAGATGGCAGTACAAGATGGCACGCACCTTTAGCGCTGCACGTGGCAGGTCTGGGTATTTTACAACCCAAACACATCGGAAACTAACAACTGTGTAACCTACGAGTACCCGATATAGAAGTTATAACATCAGAGGTAGGCTAGGAAGCAATACAAACATAGAGGGATATTTTTTTTTAATTTTACGTGGTAGAGCCACGCTGCGGCTATATTGTGATTGCAGCACGAATGGGTCGACTCGACCGGGGTAGCACCACGCTTTAACAGGATACCAGCGTGAAATAGCAGCCTGGTGCTGCTGTGTTTCGTATAGTGAGTGTAGAGAACCGGAGACCCATTTTAATGGAAACGAGGCATTCCATCTCAGTCCTCAGGGGTAACAACGCACCTGCACTTTGATTCTTAATTGAAGATAAATGTAGATGTAGATGTCTATGGGCCACAGCATCCATTTACCATCAGGTGCACTGTGTGCTCATTTGTCACCCTTATTCTATTAAAAAAAATCAAAGCACACTAGACTTTAGTGAAGCCTGGAACTCAGAATTCAGAAAACTAGGTCACGAGTTTGTCAGTAAGTAACACATAATTTATTATTCCTTTTTTTACTTTATAAAAGAAAATATTAACAACAAGCTGTGCCCGACATTCGTTTAATGCCTCTTTTATAACAGAAACCTTTAATATCGGGGTATTTGAACGTATAGAAGCCGAAAAAAGAAATATACATTTTTAACCAACTTCTCAAAAGGAGAAGGTTCTCAATTCGTCAGAATATTTTTTTGTGTAATTTCAGCGATAGTTCTTTACCACTTTGTCCGATTTCAGCCTCAGTCTAGGACCAAAGACATGTTTGAACAGTCTGTTTGTTTGAGCTAAAAACAATGCTATTCAACATTACTAATATCCCCTTTAACCACTCCTGAAAGCTTAATATGCTGGTGTTAGGAGTGGCCCATGACAATAGTCGAATGGCGGATTCGAACCCACGACCTTTTGAGTTCGCGGTTCACACCCTACAATTAGGCTACTGCCACTTAAATAAATATAATAAAGTACCTTTGCGATATCCAGAGTTAAACCAGAATATCCGAGAAGCTAAATAAATAGGTAAGTTGTAGTGAATGTGCTGGGCGAATTTATATTTTTAGCTAAAAAATTAGATTTATGTAAGAAAAAAGTTTTCGTGTGGCATCCTCGAACTGGCTATTGCAGTTTTGAGCTATTCCTCAATAGATGGAGTGACGATATATAGGACACGCAGGTGTCTTCGGACCATACTTTGTGGCACTTTCTGGGGCAGGTACACTAAATACATAACACGATAAAGCTATCATTGTCTCTGTTATTTCAAATGAATCTGGATTGAACAGCTGTATAGGTCGTGCCACGTAAGATGAAATTAAATAAAGTCCACTGCGCATGTACAATCAAGCAGAAAAATGAACATTTTATTATGTAAAAAGTCAAAGGTCAACATTATAACTACACATCAAAGTCTCCACGAAAACTGAACGATATATTCATATATATATATTTATATATCATCGTTAGGTTTTAACTGCTTCTAAATAATATTCTACATTTTATGTACACTTAGTTAAAGAAATAAAATATTTTGTATTTGTATTTTTGTATTTGTAATTGCTGTTTAAACTATACTATGCGATAGCCTTCGATTATAAGGATATTTTACATGCAATAATTTGCAAAAAAAATCATCTTGTAGAAAATAACAAAATATTTACAACTTTATACAATATACTACGAACTACGCTTATTTAAATAATTTATAAAGTAATAAATATTTGCACACTATTTAAAAATATTATAGAACAATATTTTTAAAAATACAAAAATGTTCTAAAAATTTAAAATTTTATAACAGGTAGTCGCTAACACTTTCGATATCGATAGTTCACAAGACGACACAAGAAGGTGCGCGGGCGACGGGACGTATGGAGAAACTACTTGGGAGTAGCACGTCGCCCGCTGCTATGGTTTCGCTTCCCCGTACCTCACACCTCACCGTGCGGACACCTATTTTTCGGTTTTGCGCACTTCCATGACTCGTAGCGTTACCACAGCGTATCCGTAGCCTTGCGTACTTACACATAATATGCATTGGTATGCACACACGTGTAAACCGAAAAAGAAAAACGAAATTTTACCTATAGTTGTCTTCAGATAAACGGTCATCGTCGTCGGTCGCAATGAACTGAACGCAAAGTGCACAGTCGCCCTTGACGCTTTGCAATGCCTGTACTGCCTCCTTGTGACACGCCTGGAGATAATGTTGTGTCAATTTCGTAACATAAAAGAAAGTACAACAAAATCAACCATCAATTATTTTTACTAACACATTATTAAAAATTGTATGTCAATTAATTATGTTGTCGCCCTTTGATATATGAGAATATTAATAAAAATGGGTTCGCTATATTATATTTACCATAGGATACTATAATACACAATAGAATGGCTGTCAACCTTATTTTGTACGAGGCTCGGCGAGTTTGTACGAGGCGGGAGCACACATACAGGCAATTACTTCGTATTATCACTACTACAAACCCGATTCGCTGTGTTGACAGACTGAGTAAATTTACACATTTTAGACTTTTGATTAATGTTCAAGATAATCATTAAAAAAAACCGTTTAAATTTTAATATATATTTATTTGTAAATAGTGCACAATTTAGCTTTTTCTAAATAATTTGCATGCGAACAATCACGCGTATAAGTGTTGACATTTATACGTGTGAATTGACATGTTAGTGACATTTTAGTGGCTACACGGGCTCCGCCCACTCCCCCGTTCTATTATGTATGTATTATACTATTCTATGATATTTACCGCGTTTTATTTAAATTTCGAAAACGAGAATTCCATAAGTGCCCCACGGAGAATTAAAAACACTGTACAATTTTTTTAAATACAAATACGAAAAATTAAATAGCCTGATTTATTCCGTATGACGAAAAATAGGTACCAGCAAAGTATAACGCATCAGGTTAGAAGATTATTCAATACCGCTCATGTTCTGTAGACCGGATGTGGCCGGAGCTGACAGGATTTGATATAAGATGATAATCCAAAATAATTCGCGCCTTCGACACAGCTGCTTACTAAAATCGTTAACGCTAGTAGAAAACTATGAAAACTATTATGGAAAGCAAAAAGAGTATGGAATTTCTTCATATATCTAGTCCATTTATTTCATAACTATTATAAATATTTCTTATTATAACATATAAATTGGTAACCATAGAGGAAGAGAAGTTAGAACTTCGGAAGATGTAGAAGAAGTACACCATGGAAATATTCGACAAAATTGTATTACCTGTGTGAGATCGACATCGTTGATAGCCAGGATGGCGTCACCGACGTACAATTCGCCAGTAAGTGCAGCCGGCCCTCCCGCCTCTAACTCCGAGATCAGTATCGGCACTCCGTGCTCACGACCGCCCTGTCAATTTATTTTAATTTTAACAATTCGTACTCCAATTTTGGTTTATTAGTCGTATAACGTCAATATTTTTATAAAGCTTTTATATATTTAAAACCCAACTTCGTATCTGTACGTACGCGTACTTACGTACAAATTAGTGGACAGGCTCTCGTCGTGGTGTTGACTGGCCATTTGCACTAATACACACACTTGTCAACTGAGATCATACACATAAATGATGGTTTTCAGGGAAAGGCTGACTGTAAATGTTATGTGTTAAAATTGTAATTTCAGATTCAAAACCGTAAAACCTTCAAATTAAAAATCTTATTCCGATCTGAAAGCCAAAGCTTTGTATCATATTCGTACGTCAGTATGACCCACAAATGCCTTTATATTGAGGAAACTAATTAAGCTCATAAAATAATTTATATTATATATTATGAACTGACCCTATTATGCTTATGGTATTACATAATAGTATATTTTAAAAGGTATTTATTGATCGCAACCAGACAAGAACATGATATAAATATATTTATGATTTATATATACAAATAGTAATAATTCTACAGTTGTAAACAGATGTCAGTAGTAGTAATAAAAAAAGAAATGTTATACATTATACAGTAACTTGGTGCAGAAAAACTAACATCTAAAACTAAGTTAAGATCTTAGTTTTTATACATCAAGTTAAGCTTTCCTTGTATATATTTATATGAAGATGAGCCTGTAGCTAAACATCCTTAATGTGGCATGTCACAGTTAATAAACACGCTAGCTTTATCTTTATCACTTTATACAGGTTCTCTAAACAAATTAATTAAATTACAAAAATACACAAGGGGGCGTTGTTAAAAAAACATAGAAATTTATAGTTCAACATTTAAGTAATACACTAGTCACAAAAATTACGGAATATAAAAAAAATCAAAATTTTTAGATGATTTTCAACAAGCTGTAACTCCGAGGAAAATAATCGTACAGCAAAAAAGTAAAGCGAATTGTAGCTACAAGGGTCTCTTTTATAGATCTGGCCATGAAATTTTTATCATTTGGCTGTGGAGTAATCTTAAGGAAACTACCGAAAAAAATTTCTAAATTTTTGCTTGTCTTAAAAGGGGGGTAATTCCGTTTATCCACCCTAAAGCAGCCACCCTTAAGTAAAATAAGTTCATACTTTATTATTAGTGCAATAAGGTAGTATACATCTCAGGATATATTTTTTAGGGTGGATAAACTGAAATAACCCAAAAACGGTTTACGGGTTGTAAAAAATTTTTTTTCATTATTTTACTAGAAAGCTCTTTTAGGAAGTTTAATACCTTTAATTTGTCGTAATCAAAAAGCCTGTACGATGATTAGCCGTGGAGTTATCGTCAATCAAACCAAAAAAGTTCTTTTTTAACTTTAATAATCAATAACTCTGGAAATAATGAATGATCTTTAATCAGATATGCACGCGACACTATATTTTGGGCACGCCACCGATCACAAAGTTCATTATGAAGCATCATATTACGAACGACCGCTTATGTGTATGCTGCATAGTTCGTTTCATCATCATCATCATTATAGCCCTTTACAATTCCACGCCTTCTACAAATGAATGGAATGAATACATAGTTCGTTTACGCATAGCATAATAGTCAAATTCGTTGAAACAACTGTATTTAAAAATTGATTTGCGTTATATTTAGGATTTTACCAATATAAGTTATTTGTCATTTAATCAGCAAAAACAGATATCACACTAACGTTACTTTAATTTGAATTACGTGTATAACTGAAACATTTCATAATATACATGTATTATGAATGTATTATAAATGTCTCAACTCAAAACTTTTTATTCATTTTTTGTTGTAAAAAGATTTTAAGTCGATAGTATTTAGTACTATTATTTTCCCCATAATTAAGAAGTCAAAATTATTCTACGGCACGTGTATTACCTAATTAAACATTTAAAACAAATGGTACGTTGATACATAAAGGTTTGCCACCCCTGTCCTAGGCGGTGGTTCGTACTTTTCCATACCTGCTAAAGCAAAAGCATAAAGCAAAAAAGCAGGAGTGCTCTTACTGTGTTACGTTTCATGGAGAGCCTGTGAGAAATTCTACCTTAGACATCAGTGGGAATGAATCTATAGTATTTTTTTTTTGATTGCAGGTGTCTATGGGTTAATTTGACTGTTAGGTTATTTGTTAGCTTGTTTGCAACTTCAATGTTTTAAAGGAAATATATTGGTCACAAATCTGACTTTAATAATTAGCATCACGGAATTAAAACATGGGTCTGCAACTTGCATTTGTTATCATTAAATATTTTTTAAATGCCTCCCTCACATAAGCATTTTCTCTTGTATCGTGGCAGCATTTAACATACATAAATTTCACATAGACAAGCATCCAGACTCTTGTTTGAACACTTGTTTTGTGCGGGATTTGAACCCTCGACCCGCAGCTCCGAAACAAAATGCAACAACAACAATACAAATACAACTGGGCAACTGAGCACTGAATTGCCACGTACTTTTGGGTGAGTGAAATAACCAATCTCTACATGTGTCGTAAATTTAAATAAAACTTGAGAACATCTGAAGTCACATTGCAGCGCGGAATGCGAAGCAAAATCTTTTCTTTTCCTCAACCGTGATGAGTAATAATTTGTGACAAAGAAAGTTTTCACGATGAATTTATAAGTAATATCCTTTAAATTATAATAATAGCATATTTGAGAATAGCTAATGATAAGCCCCTCGAGATGTTTGTTTGCAGGAAGCAATATATTATTCCGATGGCACGCGTCAAGTCGAACAATCAACAACTGATATCTTTGTAGTGGCGGGGCGCAATCAATATCCTTTATAAATAAACCTGTCATATTAACACGAAAGCAGGATATTAAATTATTGGTCTATGTATATGACTTCAAATAAATAACAACTAATTGTTGCACAACAGTTAAGTTTGTCTGTATGATAAATATCATTGAACTACGTACAAACTGAGGTGAAGTTATTTATTAAACAGTGTCGACATAGGTGAAAAGAATTTCAGGTTCTAGTGTGTAACAGAAACAGAAACAAAAACTTTTTTTTTCAATGTTGATTATAACTTATTGAAAGTCACTTTTTTAATTTACCACTGGTTCGCAAAAAAAAAACTTCTCTCCTGGGAAGAACCAGCAAGAAACCCAGCGGGACTATTTTTTTCCAATAATAGCTTACAATCATGTTTACAAATTAGCAACACAAGTCAAAATAGAAATAGCTTGGTAGCGACCACCTTTCCCAGGGGTTATTATGATCCATAAATTCCTTAATATTATAATAACCCTTTTTATACAAACTTAGTTTAATAACATTTTTGAACTTTGTGTATGACAAATTTTTTATATTTTCTGGGATTTTGTTGTAAAAGCGTATATATCGCCCCAAGAATGAATTACTGACTCGGTGGAGTCGAGTAACTGGTACTACCAGCTTGTTTCTGTTCCTAGTATTTACAGAATGAATATCGCTTATTTTCGCAAAACTACTTTTATTTTTGTGTACGTACATTACATTTTCATAAAATGTATTGAGAAGCCAGAGTTAATATATTAATTTCTTTAAATTTTTGTCTCAGTGACTCTTTTGGTTTTAAATTATATATTGCTCTAATGGCTCTCTTCTGTAAAATAAATATAATTTCAGTGTCAGTCGCGTGTCCCCATAGCAAAATACCATACGACATAATGCTATGGAAATAACTAAAGTAAACTATTCTAGCTGTTTCAACACTGGTAAGAGTTCTAATCTTTTTTACAGCATATGCTGCAGAACTAAGTCTGCTAGCTAGTTTTCATATATGGGGGAGCCATTGAAGCTTTTCCAAGAAAAATGGTGGTATCAACAAGACTAAGTCCCTCCCTATTTAATATTACATTAGTATTCACATGTTTAACGTTAGGAGTAACGAATTTCATACATTTAGCTTGTTTTAGTATGTTTGACATGTACAGATAAACTTCCGAAACAATTTGGATTGGCAAAAATGTTAAAAGCAGAAAGTATTAAAAACGTCACGAAAATTAAGTACATAAATGCATTTAAGGTATTGATTCATTTTAATAGCGAAGAAAGTGCTGAATCTTTTGTACAGTGCAAGAGATTTAACGAGAATGGTTTTAAATGCCAAAAAACTTTAGAAATTAGTCAATCATATGGGGTCATAAAAGATATTGATCTAGAATTTAACGAAGAAGAGATATTACTAGGAATTAAAAGTGAAACTTTAATTTTAGCAGTAAAAAGACTAAAGCGAAAGAACACTTATGATGGTCATTGGGCGATCACAGCGAGTCTGTAAGAATATGCTTTAAGGGATCGTCATTACCGTCGTATGTTTACATCTATGACACTAGGGTAAAAGTGAGTCCTTACACCTACCCAGTGACGCAATGCTCCCGTTGTTGGCGATTTAGTCACTCGATTAGAATGTGCCCCTTCTCTAAAAGTAATTTGTCCTAAATGTACAAAAAGTCATCCTAACTGTGAAACGACAACTTTCAAATGTAATAACTGTATGAGAAAACACATGGCAATGGCTAAAATTTGCCCTGTTTTCTTGAAAGAGAAACGAATTAGAGAACTCATGGCAGAATTCAACTGTTCCTACGAGAAAAAGCTCTAAGTCAGAGAAACGACTCAAAGAACAACAAGAACAAAATATACCTGAATTTTTTACCGAAGTTAGTGAAGAAGAAAGCAGAATGGACGACAAGCTAAGTGATGAGAATCGATCGAAAAATAAAGAATAATTGTCTTGGAAATTATTTTTTAAAAAATTAAAAGAGAAGATATTTGAAGAGGAAAGTAGTTCGTGGGAAGACAAGATAAAAGGCTGTGGAAATATAATATTGGAGGCGTTAATATCATTAGTGTTGCAGTTTATTGCAGATCAGCCTTGTTGCAATTTCGTAAAACAATTATGGATAACAACAACTCACAAACCTACGTAAGTGTGCTACAATG